ATGAACTGTTAATTTGAAATCATGTCAAGTATAAGATTTTGTTTTTGTAATTTTCATGTTTTTTTGTTTTGTTTTGTTTTGTTTTTCTTCTGATTATGAAATTTTCGGGTTTAAGACCTGACAAAATAGGCACCATGAAATCAGAGACGTATTTTTATCTTCAAAATGACAAGCAGTCGGGTACAAAACATCTCAAACAATAAAAAAATGGCAGCTAAAAGCAAGAGTAAAGAAATCCGAGTACTTGAAGGAGTGCTCCACCAGTTTAGCGTTGCACTATTACAGATGGCTGGATTCATGATGGACACTTTATATGATTACATTACTTCTTTCTATTCTGTGCATTTTTCTCGCTTGTTAACATCTGGCTTCTGCATTAGTCGTAACTAAAGTTCACCACATAAACTCTGAACAGATAACTGGATGTGCTGCTCTGCTAGTTGATAATAATGAAGCCTTGCAGAGATAAGAAGTGGGCTGCAGAGGTCTGGTTCGACTTTTATTTTCAGACTCCCTCAGCCTCATCTGACTTTGCCTTAAATGACATTACCTTTAGGTAACTTATCAGATTTCCTGCAGCTCCCTCTGGAGCCACAAAAGGCTTCACACAGCTTCTTCATGTATGTGGCAGCAGCATTCAAGATCTGTAAACACTTTGCTGTGTCAGATCAGTGGAGTTTCTCTTTAGCTGTCAGACCACCAGGCCAACTTTTCACCCTCTAAACCTCACATGGCGAGTTTGAAAGACGCGTTATCTTTAAAAACAACTAAAAAAGACGTCATTCATCTGATCTACAAGCTGTAAAAACCACAATGATCATTTGATATTCAACTTTTCAACAATCCTTGAAGTACTCACTCAAGACTGTTGATTACTGATGATGTTCCACTGGAAAACTTAAGCAAGTCTAAGCTTACAATCATGACATTTCTTAAAAATTATATACAGTCTGACTCGATAATCTGACCCTTAACAATCAGAAAACTTTGCTATCCAACAGGTTTTTAGGAAAAACGAATGTAACCCATAAAAACAGCCTTAACATACCGACAGCCTTGGATTCTGACTCCAACATGACATTTTATGTCACAAATAAGGATAACGGCGTATTATCTGACTGAACAATCTGACAGATTGGCTACGTTCACACTGCAGGACTTAATGCTCAATTCTAATTGTTTTGTGAGTTCGTCCACATTTCCAATTAAATACGACTTGTATGTGATCTGCTGTGTGAACTTCATACGACCCAAAAGTGTCCCGCATGCGCAGAAGAGGACACGACGACGTCACACACAGCGAGCGCGCTCAGTGTTTAGGGAAGTAAACATGGATGGTGGCGGCGGAGTGTATCCGCCACTCCCCCGCTGCCACCGATGGTGGAAACAGAACTGCGACCACTAACTAAACTGGCATCAGCAGCCAAGTACTGCCTGTGTGTTCCGGCTACTTCCACCTGGTCGGAGCGCTCCCCCGGGGTGGAAGTGTCCCTGCGACCGTGCCGAATATTCATCATTAATTGGGCCCCAATATCCGGAGCCCAGTAAGTGCTATTGGGACCAGCCCTACTAGTTATTATAACAACTATAAACAATAATTAACAACAAATGAGCCTTCAAGCATCAAGCCCTCCTTGTATCTCAACCTCCCTCTTGTCAATCCGACAGCCTTGCTATCCGACATTAAAGAAGTTTTTACATTTGGTGTCGGATTATCGAGTCCCGACTGTATTTGACACGTCTCAGAAACAAATCGCCAAAAATAAACTGTTGGTTCTGACAAGATTCTGTAAAGAACAAAAAACTCTGTGCTGCTCAGCACAACTGGGATGAACTGCAGGCTGTGCTTGAACACAGCAGATAGGAGATCGTATGGGGGGTGTACGAAGAATGTAAGAAGTAATTCAGCTTCAGGCTCCGGCTGTGCTATTTCCATAGAGGTGCAGAACTTTATATTGCAGTGAAAAGTGAGCTCACGGCGAGTACGTGTAAGTGTCAGGGGACCAGCTAACGCCCAGGAGCTGCTTGGAGTTAATCAATAAAATAACAAATACTAACTTAAACATTCCAGCTGTAAGAATGTGAAACGATTTAAAGGTTGGACCTGCTTTTTCTTACATGTGAATGCAACACAAACTAGAAACCGTCCCCAGAACAGCATGTGGACTGATTTCTATTTTAAAGGACTCGATGCAAATAGAGTGTGAAGATGTACACAACTGCAGTAAACAACATTAACCACAAGGGGTTTGTGAAGGTTACACAGAGGACCTAAGTGGCAAAAAATAATAGCATTTCCCATCCCAGTGTGTTTTGAAGTTTGAAAGTTAAATACTTTCTCGAAAAATAGGTGTTTACTTTTATAAATGTATTTATAAAGCTCATTTAAAATCAACTAAAGTGCTGCATAAATTCAATAACATACACATTAAATGACAAGAGAATAATAAGAATAAAAGGCTACAACACAACAAGAGATGAAATCAGGGTGCTGAGCTCTACTTGAAAGAAAAACTTTAATAAACTTTCATATTTTTGCATAAAGAATTAAAGAAGCTTTCTGTAACATTGCTTTAAAAATGAGGTTACATTAAATATAGCAGATAAACAACATTTTAAGACATTTTATCCAAGGTCAGTCCATTCATCTGTAAGGATTTTTTTTACATGTAATGACCTTAAATTAACAGCTAATTATTGTATTAGTAATCACAAGCATTGGTTTAATTTTTTTGCAAGGTAAATCCATTAATTCTCTAAATGGACATAGTTTTTGTAACATCAACAGGCGATTACACATGACACTTAGCATGATCCAGATGTTTTGCGATGGAACGACACTGTCCGATGAGTTGTTCTAGGAGCATCGAAAAGCTGAAAACATGATGTTTTTTTTCAGTTTTTACAGTTTGCGACTCTGACAAATGGTGTAATATTGACGGTTTTCTAGATAAACAACTTGCTGGCAGGTGTCGGGGTTCGGCCGGTTAACGGTGATGCATGTTGGTGTATTTAGAAAAAAAAAGTGTGATATTTCCTCCAGGTGAGGTTTTCTAAATGTATTCAGTAGACAACCAGAAACCATATTGGCACCAGAGCTGAATTAAATTCCAAAAAAAAAGAGCACGCGGCCGCAGCGCAGAGATGTTTGTTGTACTCGCCGTTACCGAGTGTGTTGTCTGACTACACATGTGCAGGGAGTTTTTCATCATCATTACATATGGTCGATGTCATCTTTGTGCATTCTCACCTCTATTTTAAAAGCCCACACCTAGTGACTCACTTCTTCTGCCTGGCACATTCAGCTGTCCGCATTCTTGTCAGTACCTCCTACAAAGCGCCAGGCAGCCTGTCAGCTCCAAAAAAAAAAAAGAAACCAGCAACAAGAGAACAAGTGGGATTGTTATATAAATTGAACACTCAAACACTTGAGGCTGCCTCCCTCACTGCTGCTGGCTCGGGTTTTTATTGTGGTATGGGTGTCTGGATGAGGGTCAGCATGGGAAGAGTCAAGTTACAGTTCATGAGGGCTGGATGTGTTGGAAACTTTAGCCACTTCATGAGAAATTTATATCCTCGCTGATATTATAAACAGTCCTCGGGCACTTTTCTGTCTCTACTTGACACACCCACACACTGAATCAATTGTGGCAAAAAAAAAAAAATATATATATATAAAAAGATTTAACACCTCGGCGGCAGTGGAAATGTCGGCCCGTTTGTTATGCATCCTTTCCACCTCAAATTACACGGAGTCAGTTAATGTTTACGTGGGTTTCGCTTCTCGAGGCCGTCTTGACATTATGATTTCAAAAATACAGCGAAGGCCGGCCGCAACCTTTCTGCTTCGCACTCAGGATGGGAGGAAAGATGCAAACCTGAATCTGAGGTGAAACATGAAAGATGAACAAATGCGTGCTGAGTTCAGACAGAGGAGTCTCACACATGGAATAATGTATTTATTATTCTTTAGGTATTCTCCGGTTTTTGTTATAGTTAGTTTTTCATGTTATTTTTCAGTTTTTTTACATATAGATATGCACAAATATTTACTGAAACTGACTTACTAGTTTTATAACAGCATTTCAACATTTTTTTACAAGATTTTGTACATAAAAATGATTTAATTACAGATATTACCCAATGTAAAATATCATTAAAAAGTAAAGATACAGCAAATCTACAGGATTTTTAAACATTTTTCGAAGCTTAATCCATCAAATCTGACATAATATACTTGATATGATCTTAAATGAACTGTTAATTGTTATAATTATTACTTGTAACGGTAAATCTGTTCATTTCTTAGGTGGACATACTTTTTTAACATGTCAAATTAATGCAAAGTTACATTTGAAAACTTCTACTACACTCAGTGTGATCTAGATTCTTGCAATTTAAAGCCAAAATAATAGTTTTACAACAGCATTCTAACAATTTAATGAAAGATATTTTACTAAAGTATATATGATTACCAATATTTTCAGTATTTTTTACATTTCTAAAATATTTTCTAATGTAAAATAACATTAAAACATGGAGATATGTTAAATATACAAGATGTACAGGACTTTTAAACATTTTCTCCAAGGTGATTTTATTCCTTTCATAAGCGAACATACATTTTTAACATTAAAAATCTGTCCAATAGACAAGATTTTTATATAAAGTACATATAAAAACTCCAATCAGACTTGATGTGATCAAGATTCTTACAATTTAAGACCAAATTACTGGTTACTACTCTGCAGTATAAAGCCTTAATATTTGTTTTATAGCATTATGCAACCATATTAATAGGTAATTTCACTGTTATAACACATTAAGGCTGGAAACTGCGTTGTAATTATGGAAAACTACTGGTGAGTTAAGATATTTTTCATTATTATTTTCAGTTTTTGGTGCCTCAACTGAAGCCATTTTCCCGTTTTTTACATTTCTTCTTACAAGTCCACTCTTGATAACCCCGTCCTCTTCTCCTTTATATAATCTAATTTCAGGGCTCTGCAGACTCCTACACCAGCCGGCCGTCGGACTCAGACGTGTCCCTGGAGGAGGATCCCGAGGCTCTGAGGAAGGAGGCCGACAGACAGGCTCTCGCCACACTCGAGAAAGCAAAGGTCAGAGGTCAACATCCGCAGAGCGGTCATCATTGTTGCATAATCTTCACGTCAGCGTTTGAATGTTTTGACACTGTTAATTCTGCTCGGAGGGCTCTGAACTGGTTCGATGGGCCATTCTGTGCATCATAGCGTCTGTTTTTTCCAGACCAAACCGGTGGCATTTGCTGTGCGCACGAACGTCGGCTACAACCCGGGCCCCAGCGATGATGTTCCTGTGCAGGGCATGGCCATCTCCTTCGAAGCCAAAGACTTCTTGCACATTAAAGAGGTTTGAACTCCACAGATTCTCTATTAACCTCTTGTCCTTACAAAAGTACAGCGTGGATTTCAGTACATTAATTTCACTCAGAGTCGCTCAGGGAAGAGGATGCCAATAGCTCCAGGCTTGGCTCCGTCAAACAACTGGCAGTGATGGTGGGTGGGAAGCCAGTGAGGGATCGCGCTTTGCTGCAACTTGCTGCACTGCATCCTTCTGCCTAAAGCCTTGCCAGGCCATGAGTGGGAGTCTGAAGCAACAAAAGCTGCAGTGCAGTGAGAATTAGGTGATCCAAATTGTGGAAAAGGATAAAAAGTAAATAAATAAAAGTAGTGATTTAATTTCTTTAAATCTCTGAAGCTCAAAGCAGTTTCTTGGCATTTTATTTATTTTTTGCTCCTGTCACATTTTTTACTCACTGTGGGCTCATTTTTTACTCTGATTTAAAGCCCTGCACATGTACGGAAAAAACACAACCATCACTACAAGTAGAGAGATCTCAGGAAGAATGACAGAAATCTTTTTTTTGGCAAAAAATAAAAAAAATTATAACCTGGAATCAAGTTTAACATCTTTCCAAGCACTTGTAAACATTACCAACACTGATAAAACTGGTAACTCTACGTACTACTGATGTTTTACTACTAACATTTTAAATTTGTTTGCATGCTGGTCCCAGTTTAGCTGAAAAAGTCCAAATTTTTGTCACATGACTCTTGCTCACAGCTGAGTCACTAATGGCCCCCAATTTGTGATATTCTCAATCTCGTGAGGGGGTTTTAAAAATAAAAAATTATGACATGTTAACTCACATTTTCATGAAAGTTTATTTTTCATTTTTAAAGGTTAATATATTGTAATATTAGTCAAATGCAGTTTTTATCTTTGTTGCTTTCTGTTTGAGGAAAACGTAGCTGTCCCTAATGGCCTCCTATTCTCATTATGTTCTTGTGTTTCCTACATTACATTACCATCACATGGCTTCTACATGCCGGCGGTCCATGTTGCAGTTGCCGTGCAGCATTTTTAATGACTTATGTTACCACTTGAACGCCAAACACTTGACGTACACGCATGGTAATGACGAGCTCATGAATTCTTTTCGAAGGCAGCGATAGCGATGGCGGCGGTAAATGGTGCAGGAGGCGCTGCCGTGTCTTTGCTTACTGACGCCCGGATGTTTTGTTCTGCATGCAGAAGTACAACAACGACTGGTGGATCGGGCGTCTGGTGAAGGAGGGCTGCGAGGTGGGCTTCATTCCCAGCCCCGTCAAACTGGAGAACACCCGTCTGCTGCAGGAGCAGAGGATGAGACAGAACCGACTGAGCTCCAGGTAATGATGATGTATCTGCAGCGCGAGTAGCACAAACAGCAGCCGCACTTTTTAAAACAGGTCAAACATGAGTCATTCCTCAAACACCAGGCGATGTAAAACAACTCAAAATAGACAAAAGCACTGCGGTGAGTCACTACATTCCTCTGTGCAGCTACGGTATATAAACATAAGGCTCCGTGTGTAGTCTTTGTATTTACACGTACAATCCAGAAATGTGTGTGTTTATTTGAAATATTCCAAATAGTATTTTGAAAAAAAACGCTGACTTGCTGCAATATTTGGGGATTCTAACTTTTCCCAAACCCCAAAATCCTCCAGTGGGTTTGAAATCTTTATCTTTATCTTTAAAAACAACTAAAAAATAAAACATCAATCAGAGAGAGAAAGTGTAAAAACAGGAATAGTCAGCAGATTTTAAACTTTCTAATGATCCTTGAACTACTCAACTGCCATTCCATGATAAAGAAAAATATCAAAATGTCAGCTGAAAATTATGATATTCCATTAAAATGACTTTTTTCTACATGTCGCATTATAAAATATTGACTTTGGGGCCTGTTTGCATTAACCTCTTAATTTTAATTTTATTGTTATTATTATTATTATTTTATTTGTATTTATTTATTTTTTATTTTTATGTATTTTTTAATTTAAATATCTTTTTATTTTCTTTATATTTTTTATTTAAATTAATTTTTTAAAAATGCGCATCAAACAAGAGCTGGGGTCTTATGAGGTTAACCTGATGCGCTAAAAAAATAAAAATAAAAATTCTGCACTCATCAGCACAACTGAGACACAATAAGTGACTCTGCTGCTACCAACAGTCACAAAACAAAAATTATGGAGTTTTCAGCTGAACCGCAGGCTGTGTTTACACAGAGCAGAGAGAAGACAAGTATAGAGACTAATTATTATCAGTAGAAAAATGTCTATAGTATGAAGAACCACTTTTTTTGTATTGGTACAACTGTGGGCACTGTACAGTTTTGTGAAATGAAATTTCAGCTTTCATTTTTCTTTTTATAACATAAGACATTTCTGAGTTCTCTCTGCTTCTATCTATGGTTGTTCTGTTTCCATAGAGATGCAGGACTTTATGTTGCAGAGACAAATGATCCCACAGTGAGTGAAAATCTGACACGAGCAATAAAAAACCATCCAGAAACTGTTTTGGTTCCAGAGGGTTAATGTAGTTCACAATACAGTCGCTCTATGTGAGGTGTTTTTTTAGAAACTTATTTTCCCAACTACTTATATAAAGTTCTGTGCTTAGTTAGCAGCTGATTCTCGCTTCTTCTTTTTTTTCCTCCTTTTTCTCACTTCTTTGTCAACACAAGGCCACATGTCACCTTGTTTACTGTAAATTATGATAATAGGCGTCCTCCTGCAGAGAGAAGTCTAACAGTTGTTTGTTTATGGCATTAAATACATGAAAAATCTCTTTAACTCTCTGAATTCGAAGCGGTCTCTGTCCATTTTATATACTCCTGTCACATTTTCACTCACTGTTGGCTCATTTTTCACTGCAATATAAACTCCTGCACCTCTGTGGAAACAGCGCAACCATGACCAGAAGGAGAGAGGACTCAGACGTGTCTTTTATGCAGTATAACAAAGTTAGAATGCCATAGAAGAAAAAACAAAGTTGAATTCCTTAGATTATTTTACAAAAACTAAAAATCTTGAAACTGACATGTTCAAATTTTTTCCAAGGGCCTACAGATGTTACCAATACTGGAAATAAAAATAGTGACTCTGAGTACTACAGATATTTTACTGCTATTTTTATTTTGTTTTTATACTCATCTCCTATCTGCTCCGTGTTATGATAGTTCCTGAGTATTTGTCACGACTCTTTGTCAGCTGAGGCCCTCATGGCTTCTCAGTTGTGCCAAAATTTGCAGATTTGTTTTTAGTTTTTTGACAGAATCTGGTTCGAGCAAGCAGTTTTTTTAATGTGACACAGTCGTCATATATGACATGTTCAAGGACCGTCGGGAATTTTAAAATCTTGCATTTCTCTCTAAGTTTCTGGTTCTGATGAATGGTATAATTTTGGTGATTATTCAGAGTTAACGTGCCAGGTTTGGGGGTTCAGAGGGTTAACTGTTATTATTAGGTTCAGCATTTAGTCTGCAGCTAATTCATGCTTTTTTCACAATTTTTCTCTTCACTTTCTATCAACAGAACATCACACATCACCTTGTTTACTGTAAATTATGGTAATCAGTGTCCTCTTGCAGAAACAAGCCTAACAATTGTGCATTTGTTGCAGGAAATATAAATACAATCGTATTAAACTAGTGTTTTTAGTGTAGGGGAATAAAAAATGTAGATGAATAGATAATAGTTTTAAGTATGCAGCATCATCTTTTATTCAGAAAGCAATCATTTGTGTCTGCTTTTCTCGTTGCAGTAAATCTGGAGGAAGTTCTAGCCTGGACGTTGCCACGGGAACCCGCAGGCCCACCCCACCTGGCACAGGTGAGGTCACAGGGTTTCCCTATCGAGCGGTGAGACGCGGCGTGCGCGTCTGCGTGGGCGCTTGTGCAATCCAGAGAAAGCGAGCTGATATTTAGACGAAGGCTTTTAATTGGCTGGTTAGTCAGGCGCGATGATGAATCAGTGGGTTGCCGTGTGAAGTGAGCGAGGTCTGCAGAGGTCTGTCATTAGCACACAGGACGGGACGGAAATAGAGCCGAGAACGGACCGCACTCATTAAACTTGTTAAGCATGTCTGGATTGTGCATCAGTGGGACGACTGCTGGATAAGCAGACAGACGGCAGGTGAGAAGGAAATGAAAATGGGGAAACTAAATAGGATTTTTTTTAACCATCAGATAGAGCGACTGAGCCGAGGTTCACACATGTATGACAGAGATCCTCAGTAGCTGATCTGACAGAAAGGTGAAAGTTTGACGTTTTATTATATTTACTCCGGCTCTAAAGAGAGAGTTTGATGAGAGATCACACATCTGTCTGTTTCATATCAAGCTACCAACAGCAGCTGGTTAGTTTTTGCACACAAATTTAAGTCCCTGAGCTTTGTCGCCTTGTATTTCCACTCTTTATGTGAAGCTAAGCTAACCAGCTGTTTGTCCATAGTGGCATTTATATGGTGTTTTATTCATTTCAACACCCGTGCACATTAAAAACAGCCACGTGCACATGATCCCAGTGAAGAAAACAGCTTCCGTACTCAAGAGGGAAGATTTATTCCCGCACACATCTTGTTGACTTCTGAGACTTTGGTTATTGCAGCGGCTCACTGATTAAATTTCAAAAGCGACTATTTTTTTTTTGCAACTGTCTATTTAGTGCCGCAGGAAAGAGTAAGGAAGGTTACAGCAAAGGTAAATTGGAATGTTATCAGGCTAAAATGTTGTTTTTTTTCAGCACTTCTTAACCACAAAAAGTGACTAAACAACATGTAATAAATGTCAGGACTGACTAACATCATAAAGGAGTCGCCATCCACGTCATTCAAGGACTGAAACACGCTCAGTGATTTATAGAAATAGGCCAGACGGCAGTGAGGTCGAGTAAGACAGTACACTTACCCACGTGTTGTACGTCAGCACCATTTGACGTCATTTGTACTGTTACTCCACTACAATTCAGAGGTACATATGATGCTTTTTACTCCATTACATATGTTTGATAGCTTTAGTGACTTCACAAATTTAGATTAATGATATAAAATAAATAAATCATAATGTGCTACAGTTGGAATGGCCTGCAGAGATGCCTTATGATTAGATTAGGATGAAACTCGATTGATTTCCAAATGGACCAGTCTGCATAATATACTTAGAATAGTTTTACTCGTGGTTCCTTTTAGTATATCCATCCATCCATTATCTGTACACCGCTTAATCCTCACAAGGGTCATGGGGGGCTGGAGTCTATCCCAGCTGACTCAGGGTGAAGGCAGGGGACACCCTGGACAGGCCACCAGTCTATCACAGGGCTACACTTAGAGACAGACAACCAAGCACATTCACATTCACACCTACGAACAATTTAGAATCACCAGTTAACCTCAACATGTTTTTGGACTGTGTGGGAGGAAGCCGGAGAACCCGGAGAGAACCCACGCTGCACAGGGAGAACATGCAAACTCCACGCAGAAAGATTCCGGTGACCCCACCGGGACGCGACCCGGCGACCTTCTTGCTGCGAGGCAACAGTGCTAACCACTGAACCACCCTGCAGCCCTTTTAGTATATTTTGCTATAAAAATTAGAATGCAGGAATATTTTTACACTGTGGTATTGTCACTTAGGGTGTCCCTGACCAAGTCCCCCCACCCCCATTTGATTTGAGTCATTTAATATACACCATCTGCCCAATCTAATGGCAAAACTCAGAAAAAACACACTTCAAGAACATTAAAGTCATTCAAATCCATCCAATGTATATGCTTGACAACTGAGTGGCTCTGCAGTGCATCCAAGTTGTTCCTTAATTAAGTTCTCTAAAATATTTTGGCTTTATATATTTTCAAACCTGTGAATTTTTCGTGGGGTTCAGAAATTGAACTCCCATCATCGTGAAATGTGGCGAGGACTACTTGTTTCTAGCAGATCCAAATAGTGGAAGGGGGATGGATTTTAATTTTTTGGCCTTCAAAAATGGAAGCAAGTGCACCATTTTACAACAAAGATGGTGTTATTTGAGTATTCATTAAGAAAAATCGTCTTAGTTACCATCTGTAGCATCCTGCTCGCCCTATGATAGCTGTGTGACGTAAACAAAGGATCGGATTTAGGTGTGTGCTCAGTAAATTTATGCTGATTAGTTTTTTGAAAAAAAGTCATCCCTATTTGTTATTTCTACTTAGATATAACATTTGAGTACTTATTCCACTTCTATGGGTCAGAAACTGTGGTGTTCAAAGTGACCAATGAAAGGAGTTATCAGCCAATTTCCCGCCTCCAAAGTCTCAGAAGTCAGCTTCACAAATGAGTGTTGAGCGGTTTTGAGGGTCGAGCGAGCGCTTATCACCGCCCTTGACGTGCAGGATAGCATGTCTGCACATGGAGCTAACATGCGCCCTCTAAAGGACTCGTAGATACTGTTTTCTGCACTCGTATCGCGTGCACACATCTGGTTTCTGTGCACAGGTTTTGGGACTAACTAAACACCAGACATCTACCTTCCCACCAGAAAGTGAATGAGTTCCTAAACCTGTTAAATCCCAAACCCACCAGCCCCGTCCACCCTTCCTGGAGCTAAAACCCCTACATCCACCAACAAGCCTCTTTCCCACCTCTACCCTCCTCTACCCACTTCTTTCCCATCTACACTTGGAGTTTTGTTGCTTTCTCGTCACACTGAATTCACTTTCTGCTCCACATCTGTGCCTTTCTTCATGATAATCTGACGTGTTCTTCTTCAAACTTTCGTCAATGTTATTTCCAGTTTAAATCACGCTTTTTGTTTTTTCTCAGTCTGTGCCATCTCTTGCCTCTTTCTGGATGCATCTCACCATCTTCCTTCTATTTATTCTTCCCCCTTTTTGCTATTTTCTTTTTCACTTCACCTCATCTTGCTTTCTCCTCCTCCTTCTTCTTCTTCTTCCTCCTCTGTCTTCTGTCTCTGCACCGCCTTCCCTCCCCACCACCAGCTCACGTGGACATGTCCACGGTGGCCTTTGACGTTGACCCCCTCGACCTGGATGCCGAGGAGCCCCCTGAGTCGCAGGGTGACCCTCGCTCCTCCAAGGGCATGTCGGGCAGCGTAACATCCCCCCAGGCCAACGCCCACCGACTGCCCTTCTTTAAGAAGGTAACATTAGGGCCCCAGGACAACCTTTGCTTACCTCCGTCCTGCATTTTACACCCCAAACTTCTCCAGCGTGTTGCTCAGGTGTGATCCTTCCTGCTCCTCTTCCTCGTTTCCTCACTAACTACTGCCGAGTCTAACACCGTTCGGCCCCTCAGGCTCCGGTCACGATGGTTACGCTGAGATATGTTTGTGCTTGTTCAGAGGCGTTGAACTAACCCGATGTGAAATGGCTGCTGCTGAATATCAGTCTGTTTTAAAATGAAACCACAGCGGAGCGTAAACTCTGCTTTTTAATCAGCTCCTCTCCCAGTTTCCTCCCCTCATCCTAACCTGTCGTCGATAACTAAATGTGCTCTCATGTTTTGTGCTTCTTTTTTTGTTTGTCTCTTCTGGCTTTTGTGTGGAATGAAACTGTAGGTGGCCCGGCTAAACAGAAACAGAAGTCGGTGAGTGTGGATTGTTCTTACGACTAACCTCTAACATTTTACTGTCTCCTCATTCTTTGTTTTCTGGTGTTTTCCTTCTTGTGGCGGTGGTGAAAAAAAATTGCGGTGAAGCCTCTGTCGTTTCCCTCAGAGCTGGTGTCACATCTGTTTGTGTGCAGATGCAGGTGCAGATACCCTGTTAGTCAGAGTGTAATGCATCCTGACACGCTTTCATTTTCATTTACGACGGCTGAGCTGAGTGACAGCAGCCCCGCGATCAGCTGTTTTCATGCTTTTCAGCACAATTTGAATTAAAGACATTCGAAGAAAGAGACACGGACAGTTGTTACAGCAGAAGTGAGAGTACGATATCGCTTAAATGTTAAGTGATTCAAAATCGGATCACCTTACAGTAATTGCCTCACTTCTAGGTTGAACAGTTGGGTGTTTGCGCTCATGTAAAATTAAAAACTTACAGTTTAGATCTATTATAATAAAAATACAGGCCCCACAGTCAGAACTCAATGCAACACAAGTCTCCTTTCATTACTGAGAATATAATATAATTTTTTAATACCTCGTGTTCCTTCGCACGAAGGACAACAAACTTCTGCAGAGATGTTGTGTCATTTTTCACAGACTTCTTCCCCCAGCTGCTCAAAAGTGTTCTATTTGAGTCAAGTAAGGCGACATACTCGGCCATAGTTATCCCTTTATTCTTCTTTAGAAACTCTTGTGTGATTTTGTGCTTTGGAAGGTTATTACGCTGAAATATTCCTCTTCTGCTAAGCTTCTGCTGAATCAACGTAGAAATCTATGAATATCATCTCTCCAACACCTTTTGCACTCATGCAGCTCAGTATCATCCCACCTTCACCATCAGGACTATGCATTCACTGTGGTCGTCCTGATCAAGTTTATACCAAACATGCTGGACTCCATCGGAGCTACACTAACTTATCTTAAAGAAAGAGTGTGCTCCCAGTATTTAGGCTATTTTTATTTGTCAAGAACAGCAAGCAACAGTATTCTTCTTGGAGGTTGTCTAAAGTTAGCGTTATACAATGTTATTCTCACTGTCTAAGCATCACAGTAACTCTATTTTGCCAAGTCCAAATCAGCTGCCATCTGTTTTTAGAGCTACACTGTGCACATAGTTCACTGTCCGTGGAGTCATTTTAGGAGTGACGACCACTGCAGCTCTGATTAGTGGCACTATGTCTCCTTCTATACCTCCTGATTACTGCTGACACTGTGTTTTATTGATTTTTTAGTTGGTCACCAATCTTCCTTATCTTCCATATTTGTAAAGTCTCACATAGACACAGTCTATAGGTCCAAAACTGACAAAGTTCTGCTGGTCTCATGTTGTTTTAGAACCATGTTTTTGTAGTTAGGCTGATTGGAAACCACAGGTTTACTCACTTTTGTTGCATTCTTCTAATTTTGGGGAGAGTTTTCAATATTTATTTTTGATTGCAAATGAAAGGACACACTCTACTGTTCAACTTAGAAATAAAGCAATTAGTTAGAAGTGATACGATTTAGAATCATTTGGCATTTAAATGATATTGTACTCACTTCCGTTGTAGAAGAAGAAAAAGAAGCTTTATTGTCATTGTACAAAAATACAACAAAATTTCATTTGGCAACATCTTTGTAGCAGCTAATATGGTCACAGTACATCTATGTATTTATTATAAATTATTATATATTGTATCTTGTTTACCATATCACAGCATTTTCTCAATTGTACTCTAGTTTCAAGTATTTTTAATTCGCTTAAGTAAGTTTACATTTAGTGTGAATTCGCTTTCTTCCAAAATCATGTTTTTTATATATTGAACTTCAATATAATCCCAGAATTTAACCAAAAGTATTTAAGGTTTTCCTCTTTATTCACATTTTATCTGTGAATCACAGTATCTCTACCGTGTATAGAATGTGGTCAGAGAGGGACAGTAAAGCAGCTCTGTTTTCAGGACACCTTTGTTCCTGTTACACACTCTCCTCTAAACTGTGCTCATGTTATTCAAAGCGAATGAGTAGTATTGTTATGTTCAGTCCTCTGGCTCTGCCCCTTTATAGACAAGAGCCATTTGGAAGCTTTTAAAATATATATTTTTAGCTTCTGCGAATACAAATGAAGTGAAATAAGCTTCCGTAGCTCTGCTTTATGTAACGTAATGCAGAGGAACAGGACACTCAAGCACTATCTCCTGCCTGAAGGGCTGTACAGCATGAACAGATGAGGGGGCGTGCTCAGAATATAAATGTACAGTGGCAAAAAAAAAAAAGAAAAGAAAAAACACCCATCCAATTTCATTGTTGTCAGAGTATATAGGATGTGTGACTGTTTTCACCCCAGTCTCGCTGAAAAACAGTTTCTAAAGAGGGCAGATGCTTGTGGCTCTGTTACGGATGAGTCACACTCTTTCATGATTCATAATGTACAAATACGCCAAAAGTTCACGCGCTGCAGTATGGATTGTTTTTGTGCGTGGGTGTTCGGTTTAAGTGTCCGTGTCGGTTATAGGTTTCTCCATTTTTAGTGTAAATGGATAAAGAAAAGCCACAGACTACAGCGTCGTGTGTAAAAGGCTCTTTATAGTCAGCTTCTACCTTAAAAGGGAATCCAGAAATGCGGTTGTTGTTGTCGTTGCAAAGCGAGAAACAGGACTTGAAAAATCCAGGTGGAAATTTGGAAGTCTAAAACGCACCAGCAGGTTTACTTTTTTTTAAAAATCACACCAAAATCACACCATTCATCAGAGAGAAGCTGTAAAAACAGAGACAGTCATCCGATTTTTAACTTCTCGAAGCTTTTTGAACTGTTTATCTGTGATATGCCTTTCTGTCACAAAGTCAACCAAAATCAAACCCAAAAATTGGGATATTTCCTCAAAATTGCTTCACTCTACATTACATAGTGTCATTTTTTTTAATTGACAAAAAAAAAAGCCATTTGCTGTAACCAAATTCTGTAAAAAAAAAAAAATAATAATAAAAAAAAAGCTAATAATTTAGTGCTTTTTGGTGAAATCATAAAGCCATCAGTGATTCAGCTGTGACCAACAGTCATGTGACAAAAATTTAAAGACTTTTCAACTGCAGGCAGTGTTCACCTAAAACAAATGCAAAATACAAACTTGTGATGCACGATATTAAAATTTCTGGCCGATTCCAACATCAAGATTTCTGATATCGCCGATAACCGATATTACCGATGTCGATATTACCAATTTTGGTTCACACCGAAAACTGAGTATAAGTAAGCACTGTGAGAATGTGAAAGCTATTCAAAAGACGCCCATACCAAATTAGACCACATAGTCTTCTTTATTACGCGACAAAAGTAAAACATATTTCAACATATTTAGCATTCAAGTCCAGGACCATTTAAGTCAAAACATCTGAAATAGCAGCAATGTCAAATGTAGAGGCGCTAATGTTAGACAATCATCAGCTAAATTTGTTCATCAGACCAATACCGATATATGGAAAAAACACTAATATCGGCCGATACCGATGTGGTCTCCGATATATCATGCATCCCCAATATAAATGTAATTATAAAATATCTTTAGTATGTAGAACCACATTTTTTCTTCCCAGTATTGTGTCACCTGTGGGCACTTGAAACATATTGTACATGTTAATTCAGAGTTTTTGTGATTTTTAAAAACAAACATTCAAATAAATTTACCTTTTAAGATTTGTTTTTTTATCATGTATGGCATTATAATGAGTTCTCTCTACTTCTAGCCATGATCATGTTGTTTTATATGATTTATGTTGCAGTGAAAAATGAGCCCACAGTGAGTCAAAATGTGAGAACAAAGAACAACAAAACATGCTGCAGATGGCTTCGGAAATCGTGACAGATATCTGTGCAAAAAAAAATGTGAAACTATCTTGCATAAACGGGTATATTTAGCTTTGAGGAAGTTCTGCAAATTCTAACAAGTTTCATCCCACGTGTACAGAACGGCATTTTCACTCTAAAATCAGCGATTACTGGCGCTGATTATTTAACAGTTCCCACCCGGTGCTGATGCATAACAAAAAAGAGGAGAAGGTGCGAAGCATGACGTTTGAGAGCTGCGGCACAGTCACGAGAGCTCCTTTCCTCACACCCCGGCGTCTGGTTTAATTATGGACACTTTAATTATGTGAGACTGCAGATGAAGAAATAGAAGCTTTTTTTTTTTTTTCCTTCAGTAGAATAATTGATCCCTGCCTCCCAACATTCATAGACAGTCAATAAAACAAATGGACTCCGGCGTCTGAAACTCGCCATCCATCAATCTGACCAGAGGGAGGGTGGTGGTGGAGGAGGAGGGTTTCTTTTTGTGTTAATGTTGATTTATGCGTGATTTGTGTTGAGCTCTTTGTGTGCTTTCCTGACTCAGATGGAGCACGTTCCTCCCTACGATGTGGTTCCCTCCATGAGACCCATCATCCTCGTCGGACCTTCACTCAAAGGCTACGAGGTGGGAATAGAAATAAACAAAATGTACACAAATCCACATTATTTTTGCTTTCAGAGTGTGTTTCCAATGCCTGATTGCTTTCCCCCAGGTGACAGACATGATGCAGAAAGCGCTCTTTGACTTCCTGAAACATAAGTTTGAGGGCAGGTAAGAATCCCAGCCATGATGTATGCACCATCCGTGTTGCTTTTTCTTTTCTTTTTTTTTCTTTGTTAATGCCCTGGATCTGTGTTTCAGGATATCCATCACACGGGTGACAGCAGACATCTCTCTGGCCAAACGCTCGGTCCTCAACAACCCCAGCAAACACACCATCATCGAGCGCTCCAGTACTCGCTCCAGCCTGGGTAAGACAGTCAGGATCGTGTTTTTCTTCTTTACCACGTGATAAAAGTACAGCGCAGAGATATTATTATTATTATTATTATTTCGGTGGAGATGAGGCTTTTCTGTTCATCACATCGTGTTGCTGGACATTCATTGAACCTTTCCCCGTCTGTGTTTCATATCTATATGGCTTTAAGTGTGTTTCTTGTGTGTTTAGACCGACTCACCTCTGAGTTTATTACTAAAGAAGCGACAGAAAGAGGACAAAACATCGCATTAGTATTTTTATATTAGCAGGGCAGATAATGTGGAATTGATTCAAAAAGTAATGTCTGTGTGCTTAGACGTATCACAATGATGTAGTTTTATTAGTTTTGGGACAACAATGGAGCTCAATGCCACAGATAAATAAACTGTATCAGACTTCAGATAAACAGATATTTGTTGAATTCATGGCTGGCTTTTCATTGGACACAAATGTGGAAAATCACCAGACTTGTAGTTTTTAGATGCAGTTTGGTTTGCAGCTTCAAATGAAGCACATTTACCAAAAAATACCGTTAGTACTTATAGATAGATAGATAGATAGATAGATAGATAGATAGATAGATAGAAACTATATATTTGGCAGAGATAATGTAAAAAAAAAAAAATCTTTGTCCACCTTCCAAATTATTCAATTTATCTTTGAAATTTTTTTTTAATGATTTTAGTAAAAAAAAAAAAAAAATTACAATTTACAATTGTACAAATTATAATCACAATGACAAACATTTCAGATCATATCAAGTGTAGCACATGTTTTCTCATGTTAGTTTACATAAAAAATCTTGTTTATTTAATGTTGAATTCATGGATTTACCTATTAAAACATGTAAAACTACCATTATTACTATTGTGTATCAAATAGATCTTATTTCTTAGGTTATTTTACCTTAGACATGTAAATTCACAGCACACACATTCTATAAATTACAGATTTTTTTTTTCATGTAATTCCAAGTGAGAGGTGATAAAGAGGTACAAAGCGTCATCATTGTGCATCATCCAGAGACCTGAAAGTGTCACTTTTTTTCCTTTTGTTCCTGCTCTGATTTCCTGAGTCTGATCTGGCCTCCTCTCTCTCTTCATCCTGTCTCTCCTCTCCTTCACCCATCCTCCCCCGTTTATCTCCCATCCTCCTCCTCCACTGTCTTTTGATTCAGACGTACTGGGTACGTATGCTCTCTGCTCGCAAACAAAACAACCAAGCGTCTATTCCTCCTCCTCCTCCTTCCCCACTTTTCTTCTAACTATATTCATCATCTGCTCATACATCGTCTGCCTGTCTGCCTGCCCGTCACTTTCTCTGTTCCTCATGCTTCTGTGTGACAGCCTGTAGTCTCTAACAAAAAGAAAAATAATTACCAAAACCCCGAGCTGCAAGAGATCTGTGGGAGGGCGGCGGCAGAGCGGCTGGTAGCCGCTCCACAGCTTCATCTTTATGCTGTGACCCATGATGTTACGTCTGCACGCTATCCGCCTGCAATCACACCCCACGATTGCACACAGATTTCTTTTTTTTTATTCCTAGTTTTAATAATTATAGGAAGCCCAAATTAAAACTGCTGCATCAAGGAGCATAGATTATTGCTATTTATTTTTTACTTAATTTTATTTTTTGTGCAGAAACTGGTTAACAGTGTATTTTTTGTCAACGTTATCCCTACATTCTATCTACCTGCAGTCACATCCGGTGATTGCACCCACATTTTTTAAGTACTCTTTCCTAGTTTTAATAATTATAACAAGCACATATTTAAACTGCTTGCATCCAGAATCTGATTCGCATTAATGGTGTATTTTTTTTAATATGACCCATGATGTTATTCCCTACATACAGTCGTCCTCACTGAAATAAGTTGAAATTGACAAAACTAATAATAAATAAAAATGTAATGAACATCATGACATTGCTTTTGAATTTTGGTTCAACAGGTTTGTTTTTTTTTAACAAACAACAAGCATGATGGGACCCATAAACTAATATTTAGTTGAACAACCCTTTGAGTCAATCACTGCAATCGAGTGTCTCAATCAGACTTCTGCACCTGTTGACAGGTGTTTTGATTTCATCATCAGCAAAGTGTTCTAATTTATCTGTGACACCTTTTTTTTTTTTTTTTTTTTTAATTATTCTTTTCAACCACAATTCAAAAGCAATGTTTTATTTCACTAAATTATAACGTAGCAAATTTTTATTTATTATTACTTTTTTTAGTTTCTAGTTATTTGAGTGACTATTGTGAAGTTTGCCTTTTCTTTAATGGAAGGGTGTGAATACATTTGAGGTTTACTGTACTATCTGCCTGCAGTCACTCCTGGTGGTTGCACCCGTAGAAGCTGGACCTCCTTCATGAACTGATTGCGTTGGGGAAGCAAGTGTCCCTCTGCAGTCAAATCCAAATTTGCACAAGTCTTTGTTGAGGTTAATGGAAGCCTCTGCTGCGAGTTAAAGTTCACGTTCCTTATCGTTCTGCAGAGGCCATGTTTAATTCTTCATCCTCCAGCCCTCACTGTTTGTCATAGCTGAGCCAGTCGTAGTTTCTCGGTGGCACCAAGGAACACATGATTTTTTTTATTTATTTATTTTTTTTACAGAAGCTGATTAATGTAAAAACAGAAATTTTGGCAATTTTTTTAAACAAGATATGTAAAATAAAGTGAGTTGGATAAAATATCGCCATTTAAGGCTTAGGTTTGGTTCATTTTTCAGATGAAACCAAAATTCTTTCATGATTATTGTTTATACAGTTTCAACTCTAATAAATCGTGTCATTTTGGTGGGTTTTTGGAAGTTAACCCACTGGTGGGTTTGGGGTTCAGTGGGTTCGCCCAAAATGGAAAAAATAATAAAAAAAATTTCATCCAAGATCTTTTTAAGTACGATTTCCTAATTTTAATCATTACTGCAGCAATAAGGAGCATTCATTTTGTGTTTGATGTGTGTAGAATCTGATCAGCGTTAAAGGTGTAGTCATGTAGAATAAAGTTATTGTCAACAAATAGCACAATTACCGGGTTACGTTTGGTTCACATGCTGCTCGACAACTTCATCTTTATCGCGTGACCCAAGATGTCCCTTCACACAATCTGCCTGCAATCACAGCCGACGATTGCGCCCAACGCTCTGCAGTCAAATCCAATAAGTCTTTGTTGAGGTTAATGGAAGCCTCTGTTGCGATTGCTTTATGCGAGTTAGAGTTCACGTTCCTTATCGTTGTGCAGCGGCCCTCCAGCTTTAATTCTTCATCCTCCAGCCTCTCTGGAGGCTGCAGAAACGTCTGCAGGCCTCGCCTGTCTGCAGATTGCCTTTACCCCTGTTATCTCTTTCTGCCGCTGGGTTGGCAGCACGAACACCTCGGAGGCGCTGAGGTTTGACCAGACAGCCGAGGAACATTCTGCTTTTCACTTCTAATCTCTCTCCTTACACGTCAACAGTCTGATAAAAGGAAAAAAAAAAAAAACGTGAGGGAACTGTGTTGGAAATGCTAAATAAACGGCTGCTGTCGAGGAACAACGGAAAGAAAACGCAGACTCGAGTGGTTCACCTGATAGAATAATTACTGCTGTGCCTGTTGGCGCTAACAAAAACTAATGTTCCACTTCATTTGTTTAATGAGGATGCTTTTGTTGTCGCCGTCGTCGTCGTCGTCGTTTTTTTTCTGTTTTAGTTACATGGTGAGAAATTGTGCCCTTATTGTAAGTTACTCCACAGGCATCTCATTCTTAAGTGCCTCCTTCCTTCCTTCCTTCCTTCACAACTTTGAAGATTAAAAAAAAAAAGCTTAATGTCGGGAGGCGGCAACAGAATGAGGATGCTGCAGTGTTTCCATTTAGCCGTGCATAAATGGAACTTTTAACTGTGGTCCGATCTAATTCATACGCTTTTTTTTATTTTTTATTTTTTGTTTTAATCTAAAACCTCGACATGCATGAGTAAGTACTAACATGTCGGCGCGCAGAGGTGTGCAGTCTGCTCGGAGACAAACGCATCATTGTTGTGCTGTCTCACTGTATTTATGTGTTCTATCTTTTTTCCCCCCCTCCGGGCCTTCAGCGGAGGTGCAGAGTGAGATAGAGCGTATCTTCGAACTGGCTCGAACCCTGCAGCTGGTCGCTCTGGATGCAGACACTATCAACCACCCCTCTCAGCTGGCCAAGACCTCCCTGGCTCCCATCATTGTCTATATCAAAATAGCCTCGCCCAAGGTATGTCCCGATAGTAGTAAACCAATCTTTCATGCCTGTTATCTTGCAGTTAATTTACGCTCTGTGATGTATTTCTTGTTGCGGTGACTCCCTGCAGGTTCTCCAGAGGCTCATTAAATCCAGGGGGAAGTCTCAGGCCAAACACCTAAATGTGCAGATGGTTGCAGCAGACAAGCTGGCCCAGTGCCCACCTGTGAGTTTAGCTTTTTTTTGTGATAAAACAACTGGCTGGCAGGACTTTCTCGTAACCCTCTGCAGTCGTTTCTGGGTGGTTTTTGCTCCATTTTTCTTCACTGTGGGCAAATTTTCCCCTGAAACACAGAATCCAGCACCTCTATGGAAACAGCACAACCATGACTAGAAGTAGAGAGAACTGTTTTTTTTTTTTTTACTCTTTATTTTATTAAAAAAAAAGAAAATTGTAATCAACATTTGCAGCATTTTTCCCAGGGCCCATAAGTGTACCAACACCAGAAAAACAAATCATGGCTCTCCATACTAAAGATATTTAGCTACTTACATTTGTAATTTGTTTTCACACTTTCTGAATTTTTGTCACGTGACTGTTCGTTGGAGTTGAGTCAGTCATAGTTTCACAGTTGCACAGAGGAGCACAGAATTCTTTGTTTTGTACAGAAGTTGGTTATTATAAATGCTTTATTTTGATAATTTTTTAAACAATATATGAAAAATAAGGTGGCTTAGATTTGGTTACGTTTTCTGGTAGAATATCATGTAAAAGATGAGTAGTTCAAGGACTTTGAGAAAGTTAAAAATCAGACGGTTCTTTGTGTTTTTACAGTTTTTGAGGCTGATAAATGATGTCATTTTGGTGGCTTGGTAAAGATAACATGTCTTTCGAACCCAGCAAACATTTTTCTGTTATGCAGGAACTGTTTGACATCATCCTGGACGAGAACCAGCTGGAGGACGCCTGCGAGCACCTGGCCGACTACCTGGAGGCCTACTGGAAGGCGACGCACCCGCCCAGCAGCAACCCTCCCAACCCGCTCCTGAACCGCACCATGGCCACGGCAGCGCTGGCCGCCTCCCCCGAGCCCGTCTCCAACCTGCAGGTACAGGTGCTCACCTCCCTGCGCAGAAACATGGATCTGTGGCCCGACATGGACGGTGCCGTAGCCGGCGAGGGGAAAGAGGAAGAACACGCTCTCTGAAGTCCGGCAGGGGGGGGATGGGGGGGGAGACTCCGGCAACTCGACCCAAACTCAGCAGCCCTGAAGGAGGATTAAAACCCTGTTTATGCTGTATATAGAAACACACAAACACACCTATGCGGGACACACAAATGAGCCCACTCATGAACACCTACAAGTAACACGACCTAGTCTTTCCTTCTGTTGAAAACTGTGAACTCAACGCAAACTGGACTCAAGGATTCGCCCATAAGTCACCTCCACCCCCCCGAGGCTGCTTCCATGTCGCTGTAATCAAGAGTAAAATAATATCTGCTGCCCCCACCCTGCCCTCTTTAGCTCCATGGCCTCCTTTTTTTTTTTTTTTCTCCTGCACTTTTTTTCTTCTGGGAGGCTGACTCCAGTTCGCTGTCCTCCTCCGTGTTGCCATGGCACCGCCCCTGAAAACAGCAAGTCATGTCCGCCTCTTCAAATAGAAACGCTCAGTTTGGTGGAGGCTGTTGCTAACGCTCTGTCCACTTTAATCAATTTATCGGAAGCGTGGCGGCAAATTACTAATCAGTTTGGTTTGTCTTCCTTCACTCACTGCTGGCTGCTCAGCAGCTGTAATGAGTCGCATGCTGTCGGACTACGTTCATGTTTTTGACAGTGCTGCACCGTTTTTACATGCAATCGTGCAATAAGTGATAAAAATAGCTGCTCGAAAAAACTTGTTGGTGTTTCTTAGTTGATGTGAAACTGCTTCGGGGCTGAGCTTTGTCGTTTTGTAGTCTTAGACATGTCTCTGCTTTGTTCTGCTGTGAGCTCAGTCTGCCAGCAGGTGGCACTCTCGTACAGGTAGAAACTCACCTCAGCTAGAACGCTTCCATCCCAGCAAGAACTTATTTTGTTCTATAAACTGTCTGATAAAGTTCTGCAAAGTTCTAGTAATGTTTTCAAAAAGTTTTCTTTTAGTTCCCAGAATGTTCTTTTTAAAGGCAAGAAAAAGTTTCTTCTAAGACATTTCCCAAATGTTGCATTGAGAACAATTTTAAAGAAGAATGCAACATCCCCAAAGTGTTCTCAGAATGTTACAGGCAAAATGTTCCACCTATGAATTATGGAAACATTTTATAAAAACACACTCTGCCCTCTGAGGCCTCAATACCGTCTTGAAAACATTTTTCGAATGTTGGTTTAAGAACATTCTTCTTTTGTTATCATGATCTGACAGCATCCTACAAACATCCTTGGAATGTTTTGTCTTAGTTCACTTTTTAACCTCAAAATATCCTTAAATCACTCTTGGATTGAAATGTATTCTTTCAAACATTATTAGAACTTGTATGTAACGTTGGCCTGCTTGCTTGCTGGGATGGTTTTACAAAGCAGAACTTATCTGCTTTTACTAACTCAGTAACGACTCCTGTGTGTGTGTTTGTCGGCACCGTGGAACTTTTAAGTGTGAGTTAGTCTTTGCACTGTGCAAACCTGGAATATATGTGGAAAGCTTGAACACTTGGGTCTGCGTTTTGTTTGCCTTGTGTGCTGAACTAACCGCTGAATGTTTGCTGTTTGTGTCTCTGCATGGTTGTGGTGTTGCATGGCGGCGGCTCGCTGCAGGGGCCGTACCTGGTGCACGGCGAGCAGAAGCGTGACGGGCCTCTGACGGAGTGCGGCGGTAGCGGCACGCTGCACGACTACCAGACCGACCTGGAGGGGAAACGTCAGCAGCAGCAGCACCACCAGCAGCAGGCGTACCTGCGCTCCTCTCGCGGCCAGCTGCGAGGAGGCAGCGGCCGAGGCCTTTCCCGGCAGGACACCTTCGACTCCGAGACCCAGGGCAGCCGGGACTCGGCCTACACCGAGGCCGGCGACTCCTGCATGGACATAGAGACCGACCCGTACGAAGAGCCGGAGCCCTACCGAGGCGGCGGAGGGAGCCGCCTCCACCTGGCGCAGCATCACGGCAGGCAGGCCTCCTGGGAAGACGAAGGCGCAGAGCCGGACCAGGAGAACCTGAACCACCCTCCGATGCCGAGCCAGACGCAGCCGCACGGACGCGCCAAGCTGAGGGAGCGCTACTGCCAGGACCCTGTGGAGACGGGGGCCAACATGAGCCGCAACAAGAACCAGGACGACTGGGGGAGGGACGTCTACATCCGCTGAACCCTCATCACGGAAGCAGACTGAGGACAGACGGGGAGGTTTGGGGCCACGCCGGTCAGGCTAACAAAAAATCTGTTTACATCCCAGTACAATGTAAAGAAATCCATCAACTGCCAGATGCCATCTTCTTGCAATTCAATTTATTTATGTTTAAAAAAAAAAAAAAATACTATTGGTCTGTTTCTTTTTTTTGTTTCCTATGTTAATACTGCATGAATATCATGGATTTCTATACTGACAGCACGGGGACAGTAATTGTGAATCTGTACGACTCGATCTCTCCTTCAGTTGTAGAGTGTGAAGGCTGGTAGAAACTGTCGTGTCCGTCCTCTGCAGTCTTAAACAGGGTCTAACGTCGCCGTCCCCATGTGTGAACAGTGTCAGGGTTTCTCTTAATCAGTGCTTTTGACTTTCAGGGTTTCCTCCCAGAACTGAGATCCAGAAGTCTCTCACCTCCACTCTCTTATCACCCGGACCTTAAAAAAAAAAAAAGAAAGAAAAAAAAAAACAAGCTGGTGGAGGAGAAGTCGCCATATTTTAACAAAATTTATCAATGTTGCTACACTCGCTGTTGGCAAAGAATACACTCCAAAGATGTTTACTTCTTCCCTGAACCTGGCTCATGTCCGAACCCCATTTCCTTCTTCTTCTTCTTCACGGGTGCTGAGTTCACCTGCAGTATTCACCTGTCGTCTGGTTATTTGAGTTTTCGTGTGAATGAAGCGTCCTGCCTTAGTCACCCCTTATTTCAAGAAAACTCCAATCACAAGTGCCGGAATGTCTCGCCAAGCCATGTCCACCAACTGCCACGGTGGGATGTCTTAACTCTTGTTACACTCGTTTTCATACCATTTCTTTGTGTCTTTGTGAGTCCCAGCGCGCCGCTCATCTCGTTTTCTTTGCTTCGTCGTCTGTTTTTGTTTTTTTCTTTTTTCTTTCTTTTGTTCAGGGCTGGTGATTAAAAATAAAAGTACTCGTGTGTGTGGTTGATCACTCCCAGATTCCACCCCAAACAGCTAGCTTGTCTGATATTAGATACCACTCTCTTCTTTCTCTTGATTTCTGACTGAATTAGTGTTGTTTTATTTTTCCTGTGAACATTTGCAATCTTCTTTTTTTTTTTTTTAAATTTTAAATCTTCAGTTCTTTGTGAGGTAGTGAGAGAGGAGTATCAAAGCGGGGAGGGGGGATATAGGATCAGCTCTTTGGTCTTTACTCTGGTTATCTATAATGGAGAATCCATGAATGTCTTTGGTGGGCCGCTGCGGCTTTCCACCCTGTCTTCAGCTGAATAAATAAATATTAAATAATGATCAGTAAATAATGTTATTGTTGCGTTATCGCAATTGTTAAAAAAAAAATAATGAAACAACATGTATCATTGGTGCCTGATTGTAGCTACATTTTGCTTTTTCTGCCTTTCATTTTTAATCTGTGGATAAATTCGTATTTTAATTAAAAATTTAATGAGAAAAAAATGTCATTGTGTCACTTTAAATGATTAAATAATGATTTTCAAACGCAGATTCCAGAAAATGTGTGTGTGCACATTTGATTCAGTTTAGAGCCACAAGTTCCTTTGTTGCCTTAAACATTTCAGTTAACGGCGTATAAATAATTGGTTCAGTGTCATCTTCAAAGCTGTGAAAGTGTAAAACCAGCTGAAAATTAACTGGACTTGGGAAATCAAATTAATTACACTTAAGATATTAAGTTGAGCCCTGCAATAGACTGGTGACCTGTCCAGGGTGTCCTCTGTCTTCGCCCTAAGTCAGCTGGGATAAGCTCCAGCCCCCCGTGACCCTAGTGAGGATTAAGCGGTGTATAGATAATGGATGGATGGATGGATGGATGGATGGATATTAAGTTGAATCAGCTAGTCACATAGACAAAGGTTACAAAGTTAGTTTCGCTTTGCATTTTTGTAATTTTGACAGTAAGTTCTTGAAATATCAGCCCGACTAACTCAAAATCAGTTCATTTATTAAAGAATCTTTTATTTGAAATACATTTTTTTTTGCAATAACTTTAGGATATTTAATGAAGCCATGCACAGTTTTATCTTCATACTATGATTATTGTCAGAGGTACAGGCCTTTAAACATGGGATGGGTGACATTTTGCACTTTTTATTTACTTGTTCCATCATTTCTAAGCCTCAGGGCTGAAAAGCACATTTGAATTCTGTTTAAACCTAAATCAGTTTTGAATCCACTCTAGATGTCACAATCTAAAGACTAAATCAGGTTTTGTTGTTTTTTTTCTATTACTAACTTTGAGCATTGATATTATGGGATGTATCGTAGTTCCAACAGCAAAACTGCAGCAGTTTAATATCTGTGATAGGGTCATAGAAACAAGCATTGGTGCCCTGAATGTGTTTTCTGATAATTCACCAGAGAAAACTTTAAAAAGTGCATGTAGGGTTAACTTTCAAGGCCCACATCAGCATGTGTGATGGTGATTGGTCAGAACAAGTTATACACGTTGCATTTGATACCAGGATCATCTTCTAAATTCAGTCAGAGTCTAAGTTAATTTTCTAATGTAGGAATATTGTGATGCTTATTTCATTTCATGTGGGTATCTCCTTTGCGTAGGAAGTTATGAGGCTCACAAATGCTGGGGAAAGATCTGAATTTCTAGCCTCTTCCTGTGCACTTCAAGGGCCTGTAACTGAAAATATTTATAGTATCAAAATACCATTTTCAGTTTCAGTATGATTTTATTAAACACACTAAAAACCTGTAAAGTTGGTTTAGTTGGTTTTATGTGACCTAACACAGGTGTTAAAGCCACGACAATCTTTGAGGCTCCTGTCACAGTGAGAAAACTTACAGGACTAGAGGTGTGGAGCTGAATTAGAAACTAACCTCAGTCATGCGGAAGAAAAAAGTAAATAAAAAAATCATGCCGCAATTTAACAAAGCCACACAACAAGTTTCTACAATGTCTGGTTTCTCAACCTTGACAACCATGCATCATGGAAAAGTCTGCTTTTATGGTAGTTTTGTTACTCATAAACCTAATTTAAAAAGTTGGGTGAACTCCCAGCTGTTAAATCATTCAAACTTATGGCTCAAGTTTTAAGAACTTGTGTTTTTAAGTCCTGAACCATCCATCCATTATCTATACACCGTTTAATCCTCACTAGGGTCGCAGAGGGGCTGGAGTCTATCCCAGCTGACTTAGGACGAAGGCAGGGGACACCCTGGACAGGTCAAAGTCCTAAAGTGGTCCAACAATTTTTAAAAATGTATATTTTCAACTTACTAGAAATGAAAATAAAACTCACGTGTTTATATTAAGAGAACTAAGGGAAATGAGTGGCTTTGACTAAATTCCTTCATGATGTTTTACAGTGCAGGAACTGAAGGATACAATGGAAGCTTCTCTTTCTTTTCTTGAGCTTAACCTAGATCTTCTTTCGTCATCACACTGGAACTGTATTGTCACGGGGCTTTGCTGGGTGCAGAGTAAAGGCTGTTGACAGAACAACATTCCTTCTCAGGAACAACGTCTTCCGGGACATTTTCTCACTTTACTGTTACCTAATCAGCCATCACAAGAAATTCTAAACTTACATTGCAGCACATTTGATTACACCACCCGGTGTAGGAACACAATAAGTTAGGGTGTAAGGTTTGAAGGTACAGCTGGTTCCAGGATGTGGTTTTTATTTTCTGACATTCGGTGCTCTTGTCAAATCATTATCTGCTGATCTGCAAAAGGAGGAACAAACACGATTCTGGTTTCCGGCTGAAACCCAAACGTGAGCCTCACATCAGAGTTATTTAAGAGGGTGAAGATGACTGTAACCTGAAACAACTGAAACCTGAAGTTAACACCCTGCAGTCAAATATTTTCAGTACAGATGCATTACAGCAAGTTGCATTTCACTGGAAGCTTTAGATTTGATGGATTTGTCTATGTAGAGTTTGTTGCGTCTAAATCAGGTAATTTGGTATAGCATATAACATTATAGGTTCTCAACATTAATATTTAAATTAATCAGGAAAATTTATCCATCCATCCATTATCTATACACCGTGTTTAAAAAAACTTCTACAAGAGATCGGTTCTAAGTAATAAGATCAATATTTTTCCATCATTTTCCCTCTTGTTTATCCTGCGAATAAGCATGAAGAAAAATACAGTAATTCACCAATATTTTACAAAAATGTGACTTCTTCAGCATTGATACAAGTTGGTCATCACCTACTCATCACTTCTTTCAAGGATCATTCTCTACAACAATCATGCTGTCAGTCTTGGTAACATTGTCCTCAATGGTGTCAGTAGAATCAAGCTTCTCCAGCAATTCTACATATTCTTGGGGCTCACGTCCAACATCACCCTGTGGAACATTTTGAAGCAAATATATTTGAGTATGTAAATTTGTAGAAATCATATTAGACAAGAACTGTCAATAGGAAAAAATACAACAACCACAGCACCTATGGCCCCTCCCTGATCTTGTCTGCGGCGGTGAGGACAGTCCCAGTGCTGTCCACTCTCACACATATAACAACCTCCCTCCTCCCATCCTGCGTCCACGACCTCTCCTGTTGAAATTGTCTTATCAGCGTTAGGTTCGTCAGATAAAAACACATGATCTTTTGAGGCTTCTTTTTCACCTTGTGTGATTGCTCTCTTCATTTGGATTCCACCCTCTGGCAATCAAGCGCCAGTCTACTCCTGCTATCTATAGCTGAGAACTAGTTGCTCCAGCATTCTTACTGTTTCACCTGGGCCATTGTGAGGTGTAGTATTACTTCAGTGACTTTTCTTACATCTTCGCGTCCTCAGTAACACTTTAAGTCAGCAACGCCTACAATTTCTAATAAAATACTGATCTTGTCTTACCAGTTCGTTGATCCTGTCACCTCGGTCCTCCCCACCAGGGCAAAAACCTGGCCTCGCACTCCAAACCAGTCTCTTAAGGAAACTGGGATCGAGGTCTTGGGATCCCGGATGAGCCCCCGAGATATATCAGAAAAATTCTACAGCCGTAATACTTTAAAACACCATTAAAACTAAACACAACTGCAGTTTTGCAAGCTTGCAATAAAACAAAAGTGGAAATGAATTGAAAAGAAAACACAAATACAAAATGCCTGGTGTAAATCTCTGGTGTTAGCTAATATTAAATGCCTTTTTATTAAATGTCTTATAGGTTGGACTTTTAGAAATCTGTTATGTCTTTTATGAGACCTGTATTTTGCAACTGGACAGGATTTTTTTTATGATAGAACTTTCAAGAAGTCCTATAACTGCCTATAAGTAGTCGATGAGGGGTAAACACAGGGAAAATACCGGGTGTGCCCAGTGGAAATCCCGGGGACTCTGTTTTGGACCTGCTTTTGCTTTCTGTTGGCTCATATTAGTGTTCCTGTAAAGCAATAAGCGGAAGGTGCACAGTTTTACTTCCCTTTCCATTTATGGAGCGTCATGTGCGCGTCGTCCCGCGTCATCACCCCGCTCCGGTCGGCGGTGTGGCAGAACTAACGTCTCAGCCGTGAGCTGCCTTCAGGTGCTTCCGGAGAAACTGACGTCCGAACTTTGGGGACTCAAGAGACAACTGCTGGTACGTTCAGGTGCATTTTGTGAATATTGGTAACATCAGTGATGCTTATATGGAACTTTATTGTTCATTTCATGTTTAATTTAAACAGACAATAGTGGAAAAATAACAAACCAGACTAATATGTAGTGTTTTAAGCATATAAATAGACCACCAGGCCTCTTTGAAGAACATTTATCAGTTTCTTTATTGATCATAATTGACAATATGAGCCCATCTTAGTAATGTGCCAGTTTAAAGAGACCAATAACAGCATACACATTTTGATAACATGCATTTTGATATAATTTAATTTAAAAGAATATGAAAAAAAAATTATGTTATCATTTATTTTACTATAATTAATCCTACACAGCCTCTGTGGTGCTCTCCAATAATATCAAACCTCTATATTTTCTGCTTATTATCAGCTAAATGTGACATTAAGTTGCCAGACTGCAATAAAAATTAACAATGAGTGACTTATTGTTACCTGTGATTCTGACATTGTCAAAAATCAACACCGAAAAAACTCTATATTCAATTATACAGTCTATGTATAACACAGGGACATCAGTAGAAAAACACAAAAACAAACAAGGAATATATGTAAGTGTGTAAATACACATGTACACATTGCACAGATTCTTGTATTTGTATGAAGAACTGATAATATACAGAGTTTTTGTAGAAAATCTAGGCAGTCATGAGCAGTGCTAGTTGAAGATTTGAAAATATATACAGAACAAGCATCTCTAACACAAAGTATTCTTATATTTTTATGTAGTTTCCAGCCAGAAAAAAAAAATCCATTGGTCGAATAACAACTATAAATCAAAATTTGGCATGAGTAGGAATAATGTGGGCCTTTACTGTGCCGAAGATAGCAAAATAATCTTTATAAATTCAACAGAAACTGAACATAGCAACGTTTCCTGTTGTAAAACTCACTGAAAGACTGTTATATCATAGATACTGTAGCTACAGGTGGACGATAAAAACTTCGAGGTGAGCGCATGTGGTGATCCCCTGGCTGTGTTTACTATCCCGCTAAATCCCTCACCTGCCTCAACCTAAATAGTTCCCACAGCACCTGAACGCGTCGTTACTATGTCTTCGGTCGGTGAGTCATTGGGCTGAAACCAGCGAGGAAGCTCCGCCCACCGACCACGGGCACAGCCTGATATGAGAAGAAGGAACAGGCAGTGTGACAGTACGCTAAGGACACAAACTCAGGTTAGACTCCAACAGACGTCTTTCTTCTGGATTTATCTTCTGTTCTGATTGAAACCACTTGTTTGAAAATGGGCTTCCTGCTGACCAAGATGATGGCTGTGTTCGGGGACAAAGGTAAACCTGCTGCCTTTACTTTGTCTCTCTGTGTCAGGTGTTTTCTACCTCTTCTGTCAGTTGTTTTTTTTCAAAGCCTTTCAGGATGTTAATACCCTAAAAGATTTAAAGTAGTTTAATTTTTAAGGCCATACATTGTATTAGTGCTTGTGAAAGTACAGATTTGTGATGTGGACATTATGTACGCTCACCTTTGGCCTGTTTTTTGTTTTGTTTTGATTTTGATCGATATCTATAATCTATCAAATCTGTTTTTTAAAAATGTGTTTAAAAAGTGTTTACCATTTTCCAACCTCAATGCAGATCATCTACCTTTAAAATAATACTTTTTCTGGCTTAAATACAGCTAAAAAAAAGTGTAGTTTTGTGGTCAAATATGGTAAAAGAACCAACTATCGTCTATTAAAAAATACAGATTTTTGATGTGGACATTATTTACAGTTGTAGCCTAATTTCTTTGATGATTAATATGTAAATTAGTACTTTTTCATGATGTGTTTTTTTCTATTTGATTTTTTTTTTATTTGCTGGAAAAAGCTGTAAATGACCAGTTATTCTTATTATACGTATCTTTCATACAAATCGTGATAAATATCTGTAAAATAACACTTTTTGCTGATGTAAATGCAGTAAATACAGTGCAATTCTATGACTATATGTTGTGAAAGAACAGATTCCTGTTAATAGACATGCAGATTTTTGAACATTGCACATTTTGGAGCTTTTTAAAAAAATTAATAACATGGAAATCATTTCATGCTGTGATTTTAATAGTTATTATCTGTAATTTTGGGGGGAAAATACAAAAACGGGGGGAAATCTCGCAAAGACATAAAAAAAGAAAAAAGTTCTTTGAATCACTTTACTGTACGGCATGTCATTCTATTTAATTCAGTCTTTTGTGGTGTCATAGAAAACATATAGAACATATAGAAAACTCTGTAGATAAGATGTTCTGCTGAGCATATCACAACTCTGTACTGTCTTTATCATATCTGTGTACGTTTCTGCTGAAATTATGCAACTGGAGATAAGAGCGCCATGTGGCTGAACCAGTTTGCACTGTTTAAAAATGAATCTGACATGTCGAACTCTCCTGCAGAGCACAAAGTCATCGTGGTGGGTTTGGACAACGCAGGAAAGACCACCATCCTCTACCAGTTGTAAGTGATGTCGCTGGTTTCTGAGCTTTTTCGTCTGTGCCAAACAGTTGAATCCTCATTAAAAATGTGTGTTTTTTTCCCACCTTTCCTACACGTCCAGTCTGACGAAAGAAGCCGTCCAGACGTCGCCGACCATCGGCAGCAACGTTGAGGAGATCTCAGTCCGAAATACTCACTTCTTAGTTTGGGATATCGGAGGCCAGGAGAACCTTCGAGCCAGCTGGTACTCATACTTCTGCAACACAGAGGTAAATACAAGATACTGCAACACATTTTACGAGGGAAAAATGAATGCAAACAACTTTTACTGGCACTTTTTTCCAAGTTATGAGTCTTGCTTTCACTGAAACACCAGAAAGTCTATTCCTAGATGTTGCACATCTACCCATACTGGTTTCTGTTGTTGATAACCTACCTAGTACTGTAGACAATCATTTACAGTATATTACACCAGACGTCTTGTCCTACCTCCTGTCATTCAAGTCTCTTGTTTTGGTCATTTTTTTGTAAGATCAAATCTCCATAAGTAATAATGCTGCAGGGTCTTAGCCTTTACATTTATATTAGTTTGATTAAGTTCTCTCATTTATAACACCATAGACTCTTATAATTGTTAAATTACTCTCCATATTTAATTAGGACTGTAGGATACCAGCTTTAATTTGTATTATAGTCGGGTAAAGTAGCATTTTATATCATTTTTGTGTTAATCCCTAAAATGTAAATTGCCCAGGTAAATTCACACCCTAAATAACATTATAAGGTCCTAACCTCAATATTTACACTTGTTGGGTTAATCTATAGCACCAAATCGTCTTTTTTATTTATTTTTTTTTACTTTAGGCTTTTTCCTGTGAACACGTGCTATCCAACTGAATATTACTATTATGATTTCAGATTGTCATTCTGGTTGTGGACAGCACCGACCGCGAACGTCTGACTGTAACCAAAGACGAGCTGCACCGGATGCTCGCACATGAGGTATTCATCCCAAATCCTATAGATTTTCATTTTTGAAAATGCTTTTTATTTTCACCTCTTTCTATGTCGCATCTAGAAAGTCAACAAATGGTTCCTAGCACATTGTAGTGTAGTTTTATTAGCAGATATAAAGTGTTAATTGACAAAGCAGCAACAATTAATCTCCAACTTTTTTCATGATCAAATAATCAGTTTGAGCATTTTTTTATTTTAAAGGTTAAATGTCAATATTATCTCATTTCTTTATTCCTTAATGACAAGACTTAACAAGACTTTTGTCATGTTTACCTTTGGAAAACACTCAGTAACACTTTTCACCATTTTCTACACCAAACAACTAATCGATTAATCGAGAAAGTAAATGAAAATAATCATTAGTTGCAGCTTTTTGACAGCAGCTTTAACTCTTTCTAAAGAATGAAGTTGTAACTAAGATTATAGTACTTTCCATTTATATTACCTACTTGAAACTATACTTTTAACAATGACTTGTGAAGAACAGGTGTGGGAGGGTTCAAATAACTTGCTTTATGAAGTAAATATAGAATATTGAACAATTTCCGATTGACGTAAAGGCGTTTTGTTATTCTGTGAAACCCGCCTGGGTCTGGTATTCATGGTTCAATGTTCGAGACGCACTTTCAGTAATTGCGCAACACATGTGAAACCAGCTTACGAACCCATGACACAATGTGACGGGGAAGTCTCTCAAAAAAAAACCGTGTGAGTCAGCACATGTGTGTTTATAAATGTTCCGCTGAGCTTTGTTAAAGTTTGGGGGGTTTTCAAGCACACGTGGAACATTTCTGTGATTATCAATCAATACAACAACATCGCTCTTCTCTTTGTTTGGATGCAGGACCTGCAGAAGGCAGCAGTTCTCATCATGGCCAACAAGCAGGACGTGAAGGGCTCGATGACGGCGGCGGAGATCTCGCAGTGCCTCACGCTCGACACCATCACAACGCACTCGTGGCATGTTCAAGCCTGCTGCGCCCTGACAGGAGAAGGGTGAGTCCCGACACACCTCCCTTTCTCTTTCTGACAGCGTTAGTGACTCAATCCTGGTAATTATCAGCGCTTCAAACTCAGAAATGCCTCGACAAGCTGACATGACAATTTTTCGATGACTTCTCTCTGCAGCCTTCCTGCAAGTCTGGACTGGATGAGATCACAAGTTGTTGCGAACTGAGCCAAGCCGATCGAAACTTCCTCAAACTGAGCCGACGTCTCGTGTCTGGATTATTTGCAGTGTTTTTAAAGCCTGTGGACATGACGGTGTAAGAGTCAGAGCCGGCCTCGCCACGCTGACAGCGTCTTACTCAGCCGTGTGAGAGACTGAAAGGAGCTGCTCCTTGTCTGGACTCTGAGTTGACTATAAAGCAATCAGGCGGATTTCTTCCTCATTTGGGGTTGTGAAGAAAGAGAAGGAGTGTTTTCCTGAAAGAGCCCCGGTGTGTAGAGGGTTTCAGTGAAGTACCCTACCTGACCTGTAATGTCACATTCCACCCTGCCTCCACCACAGTTCTGTCATTTCTCAGGTGATATTGAAGCGACAGCAGCACCTCACTGCACTGACATGGCAGTTAATTAAAACATCATCAATACATTTCTAAAAAAAAAAAACTGTGCCAAAGATGTTGCAAACTAAACTTGAATGATGAAACATCTAGAAAACTGATAAAAGATGAAACGCTAACATGTCTTAATTTTATCAGAATCGTTCGACCTTTGACTGTTTCTTGTAACTGCCAACTTTCTTTCTTCAACTTGCTTCCAGATCAACTGATTGTAAAACCTTACGAACTTCACAGGTGCAGACTTTTCCACAAAAAAAAATCTGTAAGCACAAATTATGGCTTCCAGTTCTTTAAAACTGTATTTTATGTCAGCGAAGAACAAGTTTTTTGTTTGTTTTTTTTTCTTTTACCTAAATGTGTTTAATAATTTATTCTTTATAAAACGACGGCTCTCGGACTCTATACTGTAGATAAAAGCAATATCGTGCACTGGAAAAGGAGCTAGCTGCTAAGCACAATGAGTCATATTTAAATTGTACATATGTTGAAGTGTAATTTTTTTAAAATAAATGTTATTATTTCAAGTTATGCTGTGTGTGTGTTGTCTCTCCTGTAGCTGTGATATACCTGGTTGGATTTCTTTGGTTTGTCAGTTATCTGTATGTGTGTATATGTACATATGTTTTTGTCACTGGTCCCAGTAACCAGTCTGGTGTTTGTTGATGGTTGTCTGCTTGGCATTTTTTCCCCCCCTTACCCCAACCGGTCAAGATCACTGCTGCCTAGACACTTGCTGATAGGTAATCTCTAGATTTGCTGGGTTATATAATATTGTAGATTACAACTAGGTCAGTCAGATTAATTTGTATGACATATTATTTTATAGGCTCACGTTCAATAATGTTGAAGTGTCTTAACTGTAATATTTGGATTACTCATAAATGAAATGTATACAATATTTAATATCATAGGCTCCTAATCATAATATCTAAATTTGGAAAGATGACTCTATATTTCATCTAACATGGTAGGGCAGGGGGGTCCAATCCTGGTCCTCGAGGGCCACAACCCTGCATGTTTTAGATGCATCCCTCTTCCAACACACCTGATTCAAACGATCAGGATCGTTATCAGGCTTCTGCAGAGCTTGATGATGAGCTGATCATTTGAATCAGGTGTGTTGGAAGAGAGATACATCTAAAACATGCAGGGTTGTGGCCCTCGAGGACCAGGATTGGACACCCCTGTGGTAGGTCACTGTAACTTTCTCTTCTTATTTGAACAATGTAGGCGAAATCTGTGAAGCATCTTTGACTTTTTCGAAGTAAAGTAAGCTTGTAATAGCGCTTAACGTGATACGAATAGCAACATTCATTGACAAAATTTCATCCGTGAAAAAAAGAAAACAGGGGGCATCCGGATTTGAACCGGAGACCTCTTGATCTGCAGTCAAATGCTCTACCACTGAGCTATACCCCCATGCGTTCACAATGTGCGAAACAAATGGTATTTGTTCGAAACAGATAACCTGTATGTTGTAAATTAGGGTTAGGGACTTCTGTTTTCTTGTTGGTTTTGGTCAAATATAGCTTTATTTAACGCCAGCCGTCGTATTTAACAGATATTTAAAAGCCACGACATTATTTTGACCACTAGAGGGAGAAATGAGCCTCCATTCATTTATAGCTGCGGTCTATCAGCTGTTACTGTCAAACTGAAAGCACAGAGTCCTGCCAATAAAACAACTAAACAGGTCATCTCAGACGGTTTACAACAACACAGCAGATTATCAGTGAATCTGCAGTATATTTTTCTATCTGGAAACATCTATGAGTTGAGTTAAAATAAAATGCATCTCTGTTGTTTGAAGCTTTTACTGTCAGGCCTAATTCACTGCAAGCAGAACACAAGTGCAAATAATGACATTTACTGACAGTAAATAGAAGAACCTCTCCTGAATACAAGGAAGACTCATTATAACGCCCGTGCAGTGAAAAAGCTGCACTGTGCAAATGAAAGCTGTCTGCATTTTCTTAGACGTGTCCCCTTTCACCTACCATGTGTGAAATCGAAACAGACTTGATTGACGCAGTTATGTCACATGAATCTAAGGCCAGTTCCCATTTAGTCTGGATATAAGATAAGATAGAACTAATAATCCCAAAGGAAAGTACCCAGAGCTCCACCAGATATTGCTCAAAATACAAAATTACACAACATGACAATAAATGCTGTGTCAAATACAAAAAGCGATGACTGATGCGAGTGTGCAGGACAAACTGACAAGAGAATGCAAACACAGATATGCATCTAAAAAAAGTGTACAAATCCAAACAAATGTAAGTAAAATTGAACATGTAGCAATTTTATAGAGGCAACAGCAGGAGGATGGCTATATGATATGTATTAAAGTCTGTTGATTCAACAATCAGAGCAAGACTCTATGTTTTACAGACATGTTTTTTTACACAAAAATAATTCCTTCCTGTCCTAAAATGATTTAAACATGCAATAACTCTACCAATGCTTTCTCTAAAATGTTGAAGTCTATGAAGTACCACCTCTATCTCCATGTTGTACCCATTTGCTACTCACTGCAGCTCAAGCACTGCTGTTTATTTCCCGTTGTATTTTGATATTCCCTGTCTTTGGGTACCTCTTGTTGTCTTTACTTCCTGCCTTTGTCTGTTTCCCTTCCTTTTGATTCCCCTGATCTGTTTCACCTGTGTCTTGTGAATCACCTGTGTCTTCTCTCCCAGTTAGTTCCCAGTATATATTTAGTCCCGCCATGTTGTCCTATTTTGTCCACCTTCTGCCACTCTGTTGGATATTTCCTGTTTTGTTGCCTCTTTATCACCTTTTCCAGTCCTGTGTGTGCTCCTCTGGTTTACAAGGTTTGCATTTTGGATTTTTGGTTCCCTCTTCAGTTGTTGCGTTTGGATTAGTTGCTTTTAAGATGCATGAGGACTTTTTAGTTTGGCGTTTTTCTGAACCCTCAGCGAGAAGATTTGTGGAGTTTGACGAGCAAAATAAGAGTTTTAGGCACAGATATGAGATAAGCTTGTAGATTCTCCATGGAGGAAAAACACCAGTCTTCCTTGCTTTATTGTTTTTCCTTTCAGCTGCAAACATTTCCAGAATTATTCTACAGGCCTTTATCTGTATGATTATATTGACCTTGTAAGATCTGCTGTAAACCTACTCACCAGTTTGAATTGCTCCCAAGACCGACACCATCAGGGCTTCAGCTGAAAGAATAAGGCTAAAACTGTCTTGCAGACCACAGAAATACACACAACTGTAATTAAAGTAAGATTCAGTGGTGCGTTAATAATGGCCAGTGATATTGATAAGCCACTTTCTGCACTTTTCCCCCCAGCTTTTGTTCCTGCTTTGGCTGCAGCAGCTGTGTTGCTTTCAGCTTATATTGTATTTATAAATTCATCATTGGTTTAGGATTAGTTTGTTCTTCTGTGAGAAATATGTGGCTCAAGATATCCTTGTTTGGTCATCTGGAGTAAAAACCACTCTTTCTATATGAATGTTTTCATAGCTAGAGTCAGAAACTGGTTTGACAAACTGCTTCATGTCACCACTTAGTTAGGTTTAGTTGATCCAGATAACAAAAAGATATCTTGGATATGTTGGCCTTGCTTTGTAGTAGGAAGTCCTTGGCTCACCTACAACTCTACTAAAACACTGTGAAACTGCTCTAAACTTTACAATTGATAGTTTTAATATTGGAGTAATTCAGTCTTGCATGTACGGAAAACCCCACCCTGTGAGCTAATAAAGTTCTGAAGCTTTAAAATGTAAAAAAGCCCCTGAAGTCCCAAAGATATTAAGACATTTATGTGAACCCTACAATTTCAATGTGCGCTTTGTACTTATTTTCCTCATAATGTGTCTTCCAGCATGTAAAAACACCATGTTGACATGTTAACATGGTTAAAAAAAAAAAAAAAAAGTTCACAAACACACACATTATCTCATGCTATAGCTATGTGTTCTACAGCTATTTGAATTGCAGCATATATGCAAGACAAATGTGAACAATATGTAAAGTGTAATCCCGTCCACATGTTTCCATTAAGTTCTGGCTTTCTTTGGCATTTTGGTCTTTCAAATCATTTTACGTAACCCTGAGATTAAGTACTTTATGTTATCACAAGGTTTCCTCCTTCATGTATCACTTGCTGCCTTCAGTCTCTGGTCTCAGGACCCTGAAACTGATGCAGCTCAGTTAATTTCACCCACCATTTCTTTTATTATGCACACATGCTTTTCCTCATGAGATGCATCAAATTATCCATGAAATCTGCCATCTGACTGCAAACTACGGTGCTTCTCCTGCACACACCTGAGCTTAAAACATGTATAAAATCAGGTTCGTACTATCAGACAACGGGGTTGTGAGGATAAAACTTATCTAAGGTAGAAATAATGACACAAAATATTATTGAAAACAACCCTGTATATCCAGCAAGAAAGGTCTTTGAAGCAGATTTAGTATTGCATCCACACTGTAAGAAGTTGTCTTGGGCAGAGCTAAGCCCAGGATGCAGTGATGGTGCCCCTTCAAAGCAAAGTGTTATTTCAAATTAATGCCATTTAACTTTCTGCTTTGGTGAAGGCAGTTAACTTTTGCGAATTTTTGTAATTTCTGCAAAAGCGTGGAAGTTCAGTTTACTGCTCCTTTAGCGTTGTATGTCTGGCCTCCTGTTTTTTCATATTTTTCTGCTGCAACTCTTTCAATCTTACCATTCGTTTAGTAGGATTAGAGTAAAGACAAAAAAAGAAGAGTCTACTGACAAAACTATGTTTTACGTTTGGGTAAAGTGAATACTTACATTGAAAAAACTGAAGGCCTCGAGTTGACTTTCCTTCAAATTAAACTGCAGGAACTATTCATTGAAGGGTAGTCAAGCAATTTATGCAAGTCCAACTTAAATCCATGGCATTAATGTTACTTGTTAGTTAATTTGGATAAACATAATGCACAATTTTATGTTGCCAAATGAAGCAATTCATTTAGGTTGGCCCAACAATTGTTTTGTTTTTTTTGTCACTGACAAGAAAGTTCCCTTTCATGTGCTTGATTTGTTTATGGAGAAATTTATTTAGCTGTTAAAGGATTTACAGTTTTCAAGTCTATGAACACTGAAAGCATTTTTACTCACATTATTGTTGTCTGTCTCCTCCTTGATTGCAAAAATTACTTGTAAAGTTCAGCTTCGTTGGAATAAGTAAGTCTTGCAAAACGCTGCAGCTGGAAACACTGCTGAAACATCTGAACAGGGAATTACTGACTGATCGATCGCTACTCATTAGCTTTGACTGAACTTTAAAGGAGAGTTTAAGGATTGTCGATTCTAAGGCCCTATCGCTTACTCTGAAAATGATTTTGGAAGTTAAGGCTCTTCAGGGGCCAGAACAGAACAACTACCAAAACAACCTGGTGGACAGTAACATCACATTCACAGGGGAGGATGATGGAGTAAATAAATCGCCTTTACTTTGGGGCTGTGCTGTGCACATTTAGGAGGACGGAAGCGTCGACACTGATGTTTACCAGAAACCTCCACACAAACACGGATACCTTCTGTTAACTCCCACCACCCACTGGAACATAAGCTGGTGGTCGTCAGAACCTTACGAAAGTGATCTGAGACTGTTCCTATTAAGAAAAGAGGGGGAAAGGAGCCCACACATTCTTGGAAAACCTGTTGCAATCCCAACAAAGTTCGCAAACACATCTGGAAAAAAACACCGCAACATCAAACAGAGAAGGAAACAATGCGTGGAACGATACTTTAATCTTGGTCCACCTCAGACCAAGCAGCACTCTGAGACGTAAACTGGTCCACCCTGAGGATAAACCAGTATGTGCAGCTAAACGTAGTGAGAAGACTAAACAACCGCTCCACAAACACATGGCACAACACAGGACAAGCCTCAGCAGTCCACCTGCAAATGAAGGATGAGTCCCATGGGGAAAGCAATGTACAGATTCTGAACAGAGGAGAAAAGAATGAAGGTAGCCATCTGCTAGTGTATCTCAAAAAAGTAGAATATTGTGGAAACGTTGAATAGTGCTCATCAGTTAATTAGGAAAATGAAAATGTTATATTCTTTTATTTTTTTATTCTTTTATTTATTCATATTACAGCATTTTTCTATTCTAATTTTGATAATTATGACATCCAGCTCAATTTTTTAAACTTTTTTTTTAATGCCTCAAAATTCAAGTAAATTACTAAACTCACAGCATAAGTAGCGTGTATGTCTCAGCCTAGTTTAACACATGCAACACAATTATAAGGACTTTAAAGTTGTCCAGAAGACGACCATCGACACTCTTTCACTTTACATGAAATGAATATAGAATAAATGAAAGTTTACCATTTTGATTTAGATTAAAATGTTTATTTTTTTCTCTTTCACAATATTCCAATTTGTTAAGATGCATAATAAAGGCTTATATTATCTAGCACCACTCATACATCCCTCACCAGGCAGTTTCATCACCATTAACGCTTTGATTCAAACCTCTCCAAGTGCAACATTCACACCTCGAGGCATGTGAGTCTTGGATCTTCAATGTGAGCGATGGGATTTGGGAAGAATAAGTACTCTGGGGCTCTCCACCAGACGGGTAGAGGAAATGTGTTCAAGAACCAAAAAAAAAAAAAAAAGTCCAGTTGGATTCATTTGAAGCTCTTAGGATCACCATGACCTGGACTGGACAGGCATTCAGCTTGTAGACAAACTGAGGTTATTATCCTAAACCAACTGCATCCTCTGAAATATTTAGCTGGCGAGTCATGGCTGACCTCCCTGAGCCTGGTTCTGCTGCAGGTCTCTTGTTAATGCAAGGGTTGCAAAAAAAATCTAATAAAATACAGAAAATATGCTAAAACAAAGCCCACAACAAGCCGCATATAATAAAATGATAAGAAAAAATAATCGTGCCCTTAGGAGATCCGGGGATTTGTTGGGTTTATATGTGTATTTTTGTAGGCTCATAACTTTAACTCTAAATTAGTCAAGTTAATCCCCGTAATTAATACAACCGTAGGATATTAGCCTTAATATTTAGACTTTCAAACTAAGTTCTGTAATTTATAATACCATAGGGTCTTGCTACATTATTAGATTAGTTAGGTAATTCTCTAAAATTAATAACACTGTAGAGCTTCGGCCTTAATTTGTATTATCATCAGGTAGTGTTTTATATAATTCTAGTAAAATCACACCAACACCCCGATATCTAAACTTGTTAGGTTAATTCGTAATACCAGTCATAATCTTCTCTTACTGGAAAGCACTTTGATGGCTGCTGTTTTAAATGCGTCATGTAAAACCTTGACCTCATTTATCAGAAACCTATTGTGCAGTCCTCAGATCCTTCTCCAGGCAGTTTCACAACCATTGAGTCTCCAGTTGTCAATGGGCTATGTGCAGTGTGATTTGGTGGTAAATAAATACCTGGAACTTCCCACCCGTTTCAGGAAAGGAGGTTTCAGGGTTAACAGAGATTTCACTAAACCTGCTTTGTGAAACCAGTTAGCTAGAACTAAAAAAACCCTCTCTGATGAAAGCTGAAATGTGTCGAACAACCAAACAGAAGTTAGTTGACTAGTTTACCTTTTGATTGCAGGAGATTGGTTCATAATGATTGCAGGGTTCACTGCATCACTACATTATACAGCAAGTAAAACCTGTTAATTCTCCGAAATTAGGAAGTTATCGAAGATGTCCATTACTTGTTGGTTTAAAATCATCGTGAAAAAGTCCCACCTGCTGCTGTGCTGCTGTTCGCTGTGTTTACAGTCTGGATAATGGGACATGCTGCTGATTGCCTTTCCAGCTGTGAATCCAATAAAAACCCAGCTGCCGTTTTCTCCGCAAAAGGACTCCACGTTTGCTCCCAACAGCAGATAGAAATTATGAAAGCGGTAGCTGCGAGGGGTGGCAGAGTTCACCGCAGAGCTTGTAAAGCTTTCTTTTTTGTCAGTTTTACACACAAGTTTTACACAACCGTTGGAAATTAAACTGCAACAAAGAGACTTTTCTGTTCCATGTTGTCAGAAAATAGACACAGTGTTTTGGGGAGCCGTAAACACATTTGACATGGAAAGTGTAATACCATAACGAGCACTGATTTTAGTGCTGGCATTGTGATCCCCATGTCTAATCTCAGATGTCAGGTTTGTGTGTCCTCACAGCTGGTTCGGACAGAGGGAGGCGCCATAATGCTGCTGCTGCTGCTGCTCCTATTTGGACTTTTATTATTTAGAATGATGCTGTGGTTCCAGGGCGCTATACTGGAGCCCAGAGACAAATATTGTTCAGTTTATAGAAACAGAAATCTGGGTGCTTTTTGCGGAGAGCGCAGATGATAGACTTTTCTCTGCTCCAAAGCCTCATCAGCTGATCCTTGTGTCTTTTGCAGTCACCACGGCAACAGAGGAACAGCGGCGAGGAGGAGAGAAGAAGGGGTGTAGTTAGAAACAGGGTGGTGGTGTATGAAAAGAGAGAGAGATTTGGAGGGAAGTGGAAGAAAAAGCTGGTTTTGCAAAGAGAAGAAGAAGAAGAGAGAGGAAGACAGGAGCAAGGAAGAAACGCTGAGATTTTCTTTTTTTGGTCTTTTTGTGGTCCAACATGTGTTTCAGTTTGGTGATGCTGTTTCTTTGTCTTTCCCAAACAGAGCTGGATAAAGTTTGGGCTCAGCCGCAGACAGGTGAGTTTGGTGTGTTTTGCTTTTACCTCCAGCACTTGCTTCTGCTCACTGCTTCATGTCTGGGGTGTTTAATTCTGCAGGTGATGCCGGTGTTTCTTGCAGCTTCTTGAGATTGGTTTCCATAAACACTTGCCACAGCCACTTGTTCTCGGGTAAAAGAATGGTCAATATTTAATCATTTTTATATCGATGCTGTCTGCGCCTCTGTGTATGCTATTTTAACGCAAACCACAGGACTTCAGTAGGAATCTTTATGGAGCGGCAAATGGGCATGCCATGCCCTTTTCATTATACACAACAAAAGTGAATGACCTAGTTTACAATAAAGTGTACAATAAAAATACCCCATTCCACAAGCATGCAAGTGAGTCTAAACAACAACCCGCAAACAGCCCGTCTCAGGGTTAAAATTAGACTTGGACTTGTTTTTCTTCTTTGCCTCCCTGCTACAGTCTGGCACCAAATCTTAGGAGACTGTTGGACAGGGATTTATCACTTGGAGTATGCTGCATTTCTTCATATAAATGCATGTGTGTGTGTGTGTGTTTTGGAATGGATGGATTATATATTTCGGGATCCGACTGGTCACTCTGGTGAAAGACTCCTCTCCTGCCTCCCCACTCGGCCCATCAGTGACCTGAAACAGCTGCCTGTGGAGGAGATAGAGACTCATCCGAAATGTTCTTGCACTAAACCGAAAAGTTAAATCATCCTCTACTCCTACTGAGCTCTTACGCGTAAGGAAATGTGTTGCAGATGAACATGCTGTGAGATATGTGCTTGCAACATAAAGGGTCAGCCGTGGGCGCCGACCTAACATAATCCTCCTTTACTTTTTCATATAGTCTTATCTGTCGTGTCACTCGATATTTATACACTGATCAGGTTATAAAAAATGACTTTGGACTGTAAAAACACAGGACTTAGCTGTGTACCCAGCGCTGACCTCAGTGTTTGGCATCTCGTCTCTGAAAAGTTTGCTTAACAAATAGCTTGAAGCTGATCCAGACGTTTCAGAGCAGAAGAATGAGAAACAAAATGAAGTGTATTGTTTTGTAAGCGCGTACGGCTGATAGGATGTTTTTGCCTGTGAATCCCAGAGCGACTCTTATTTTACATCAGTCATGTGCAATTTGACTTGTGACAGGAAAGCATAGACGTGTTTTAGGAAAGTGGCAAGAAAAAAAAAAAAACCTTTATCTGCCAACAGCTGAGCAGCATCTTATTCTTTGAATTATGTAGTAATTTGGAGCAGCGTTTGTGTGGGAAATAGTTCTGGCCTGAACTTCATCTCCTTCATTCATTTCCCTTATCAGGCAATGAAAAGCAGAAATACTGCCTTTGTCTCTTCCATGGAAGAGCAGTGAAGCAATCACATGCTTGTTGTCGTAGGCTTGAACAAAGACTTGTCTCTTGTCTTTATGTTTTTTTTGTGAAACGCTGCTGCCTTTTAGGGATGTTATCAATTGCATTTGAGGGAGAGGGAGTTGGCTATATGTCGGCATGAACGGATGTATGTCTGCATTCCAGGAAGCTCATCCGTCTTTAGGATTGACCATGTGGATGCAATGACTGATGTTTGAATACTCAAAGAGGGAACTCCTAGATGGTCAGAAACACCGAAAAAATTAAGCATGCTGCCTTTTCATGCCCTGTTTGTGACCAGTACAGTCCACAATATGTGCAACAATGTGGGTTTGGTTTGAGGCATGTAAAAAATAAGTAAATAAATCAAACAGGTACTGTAACATCTAAAAACGACACCAATAACGTACTTACAATAACGGCAAATACCTGTAAAATAAATATATTATTGCTGAAACATGTAGTACAGTAAAAACAGCAGAGTAAATCGGGGTAATTTTATGATTTTACATTTTAAAGAATAAAATACTATTTGAAAAAAAAAAAGATTTTTAAAGGGAAGATGACTGACAGTTTTGACCATTTTTTAATGGTTAAAATGTGAATTAATTTAAAAAAAAAATCCTTAGTATGCATTTTTTTTTCTTTAAAATATCACCAACTATCTGTAAAACAAATTGTTTTATTTATGATAGTGTCATTTTATGGTCATCACTTAAAAACAACAACAACAACAAACAACACCTTTGTGTAAAAACACAGTTTTGATGTGCTATTTTGATTTTTTTTTGCTTGTTTGTTTTACAGGTAAAATATCCATTAATACTTTATTTTTACATACATACATGATTTTACTACCTGTTATCTGTAATTAAACTACACAAGAAAAAAACTAATATTTTTTTTTTTTAAACCCTTGATATACATCTTTTTCTATCAAATAACAGCAAATATTTTGCAAAATAACAACATTTTTGCTTTTTAAAGTAAAGTACAAGCAGTGTACATTTATGGTAACGCTTTTATTTTGATAACAAAAACATAATTTTGACTCCCTGGTTGAACTACAGCACGCCCACATACAACCAGTATATTATTTTAAAGGTTCAAGGTTTTGCAGACCTCAGGATGTCCTGCTCAGTTTTAATCTGCTCAGTTTTAATCTGAGGAGACTCCCTGTATGAAAGCAGCCGGACTGACCAGGGCAGTATATTCATGGTGTTTCTGACAGGAAAACTGAGCGTGGTGAGGTGATTATCTCAGGATGGCTTTACTCAAAAACCTCCCGTACAACAATACCCCATCTTTTTTTTTTACAGTGTAGTTTGCTGAAAGCCAGAAACATAAACTAGATGGAACAGTTTTGGCCTGAACTCCATCTCCTTCATTTATTTGTCTTATCAGACTATGAAATGCAGAACCAATGTTTGTCTATTCCAGGGCTTCAATTTATTTTCTCCATAAAGATGTTATCCATTGTATTTGGCATTTTTAAAGATTTCTTATGAAAGGAGGCTCCTCTAAAGGCATTAGAAATCATTGTAATTGTTGCTGAACTATGTCAGCATCTCAGTTTCTGGCCAAAATATATACTGAGACTGATACCAGCTATCGACTTCCACAAGACAAATTTGACTTGATTGTCTCAGCAAAACTTACTTCAGTGCAATAAAAATGGGGAACTGCACACTCCTCTAAATGAACTATACCAGGAGATGGTCATTGTGGGTGACGTTCGGGAGTCCATGCCAGCTCCTCCAGCCTCTGCTCAGGAAGGGTGTGTCCTCTCAGACCACTCAGAGCTGACCACTGCAGAAACATTCAGCCAAACGTTGAGGTTTGGTAGCTCCTAAAAGAGTGGGCAGAGGTCAGATTTCCGTCCAGAACATCTGCCCGTTCATTGCCTGAGCAGATTTCCTCTTTTTTTTAAATATATTCGTCATCCTTTGCCTCAAAATTTTGAAAATCTTTTGCACTCTGGAGCAAACTTAGTCCAAACCTCATCTATATTCTGGGCCAGGTGTGGTTTTTTTCCCCAATAACATCTTTTTAATTTTCTGACTCACCAACAGCATGCTGGCACGGTGCAGCAGCTAAAGGTTGGCTGCTCACAAACGAACAGTGACTGAGGCCATTATCTATTCTTGGGGATTATCATCTAACCGAGGCACCACCCTGCACTTTCTCCCCAAAGGAAGAGATGCAGATACACAAAACAAATCTTGATATTGATTCACCACTTAGGTATTCTGCTGAAATCCTCCCCCATTTGCACTGGGTTCTGTTGTTCGGGGATGCCTTTTAAGACAGATGCTAAATGAATGTGCTTTGCATGGAACACTGATGTGTTTAACTGTTCTTTTTGTAAAAACTTCTGAACATAAAATCACTATTTAAATCAATTTCTATAAGTGGAAGCACTCCTATTTCAGTGTGGATGGTTGAACTGATTATTGAAAATACTAGTTCTGCTTTTTATCAGTGTGATTAAGTACCATTGTATATTTACCGTTGATATTGCCAAACAAAAGGAGGCATGCCTAGGACCCTGAAAAATGTGACCACCCTTAATCTGAATGGTTTCAAACTCAACGCTACACTTTCTCGGGCCTCCTGCAAACCAACTGCCAAGTTTGAAGTAGATCGGACGAACGGTTGTCAAGGAAAGCAAAGAACAGACACACAAACACACAAAGATTCATCATTTACAGTTAAATAAACACAGAATTAAACTGGATTTATTACTTAAACTTTGATTTCATACCATAATTTATGTAAATTTCAAGACTTTTGCAGTGTTACGATTGACTTGAAGGCACTAAAACATGTTTAAAAGTTTTCTAAACAAGTGGAAAAGTTAAAATAAGATTATCACATTTATTCTTCCTTGTGGGTATTGAGGCCCATTTTCCAACAGGGAAATGCAGGTTTGAACAAGAGGTTGCAGTCTGGTCCAATTTTTTTTCACGATACATAATGTTCTATTTTGAATGCATTCCAAGAAATGTTGTTAAGATACCCAGCAACAGGAGCAGAGGCTGGATTATGCAGTAAATAATTCATTTTGGAAAGAATGATAGGAAATCGAGTTTTTGTCCGTTTCTATCGGACAGCCCATCTCACAGATTTGACTGTCTGCCAGTGAATTCAGTAACACAGCCTTTGGGGGGGGTGGGGAGATGACCTGAGAAGATATTATAAGTCATAACTTCATACTCGGCACTCCTCCCAGCTTAAAGCAGAATATGTTTATCTGCTTTGCCGCCGACCTCAACAACTGTGCACGCATCGTTTCTCCTCTTACCTCATGGATGCCACAGCAGGGCGGATCAGCAATCACACGTCTAGGTTTAATATACGAGCTGCCACGAACGCATTGACGCAGCAGCTAATTGAATCAAAGGGCGGAGAGAAACGCTCATGAACAAGTACGCGAAGCTCCCCATGAGGTCAGGACATTTGGGTTGTCACTTCAGAAAACTTGTTAAATGACGCATTGTAGTTGTGATGGCTGTGGAAGACATCAGCGTTGTAGCTGTGTGAACGTTTAAAGCAGCCAATGTCCCACGCAGTCTGAACTCTGGGGGTTTGGCACAGGACAAAGCCGAAGGACCGGCAGGCCTCCGAGTCCTCCT